ATTTTAGGCTGAGTTCCTGGTATACCATCTCATTAAATTACCTTCTTAACTTTCCCCTTGCATGTATTGATGTGATTTTTGTTTAATACCGATGATGTTCGCTCTTGCAACGAAACTGTTAGCCATATGGGGATTTGCTCATTATTGCATTCTCAAAGATTGCACACTACCAAGAGCCTCAGAAGAACTTAAGTATTTCCAGTACTTGTGAATGGGCCAGAGTAATAAGACTGTGGGATTCAGGAAGGAAGCTAGGTGAGTGTTCTTCGTTGAGTTCACTTGGTGTCACCAACCTAAGGAATGATTGCTGAATGTCTATTCAGCTTCTCCTAAACACTTTAGAGAACTTAAAAGTATTGTAGGAAAGAGTTACTAGAAAACATACTACAATTTGGAGAGATGAGAAAGCATAACAAAGAGATGGGCAGTGGTATCACACACATTTAATTGCAGCAGAGCCAGGTACATCTCTGTGAGTTTGAGGCCAGCCTGGTCTACAGAGTGAGTTCCAGCACAGGTTCCAAAACTACACAGAGAAATCCTGTCTTGAAAAATAAAACCTTAAAAATGTATAACAATGTTAGGTTACATATAAATTATATCATAATTTAAACATAATTATTTCATGCTTTAAAAATAATTATATTATTTTTAGACCACAGTAATAATATTTTATCCTAAATATGTTACATTTACAAGCTAATTAGATCATGTAATAGGGCATGATTAATTAACTTATATTGGAACTGGATTTAAATATGACTTAAAACAACCTAAATTATATAAATATCATATCTATGTAAATAAATGGTATCAACTTGAGCATTTTCTAAACACAATCTAATAGTATCTCTTCGCATTCCTATTCTTTTTTGCCATTCTTCCTTTTAAAAATAATTTACTCATTTTTAAAATTTCATAAACATGTACTGTATTACATCATCCCTATCCTTGGAGGTCCTTTTCCTGTATCAGAATCTCTTTCTTCTGTCTCTCTCTTCCTCTCTCTATCTCTCTTTCTCACCTTCCCCTCCTCCTCCTCTCTCACTCTGTGAACAACAATGTTCAATATGTTTTGATGTTACTTTGTAGAATGCTAAGTAATTAGTATAGCAATTTCTTCATTTGTTTAATGTTTTGCTGTGGGAATACTTAAAATATATTAACTTACTATTTGTGCTACTTGGATTTTGTCACCTTGACATAAACTAGACTTATCTGAGAGAAAGGAACCTAACAGAGGAAATGCCTCCATCAGATTGGCCTGAAGGCAAGACTGTGGGGCATTCTCTGTATTAATGATTGATGTGGGGGTCCCCACCCACTGTGAGCATTGGCATCCCTGGGCAAATGGCCCTTCGTTTGTATGAAAAAGCAAGCTGATGTACCATTTTTTTTGGCATATACCTATGTTGCAGGCGACCCTGAAAAGACACCCCTTGGAGAAGGGGGTGTGAAGATACAGAGTCAACAACACAGAGTCCAGGAGTAGCAAAAGCCGACTCATTTATTGAGAAAATCAGGCTATCAGGCTTGCCTATATACCCCCTGCCAAGATCCCATTGGTTTAGGAGGCTGACTCTGCTGTGTTGTCCTTCCCTCATTGGCATCTCCAGTCAAGCATCTTTGCCTCAACAGTCTCTGGGTGTAGCAGCAGACCTTAGGTTGGTTCAGGGAGGAAGTGCCTCCCTTCCTCCATGTGGCTGGTTTGAACAGAGCTACTGCAGCTTGAGTAGGCTGGCCGGCAGTTTCTCCCAAATAGAGGATTTAAAAGGATGCATCATACTACCGTGGAGACATTGATCAACCATGTTCATTGCTGTGTTATTCATAATAGTCAGAAATTGGAAACTGTCAATGGATGAATGGATGATGACGACGTAGGACATTTAAACATTGGAATATTACTCAGCTGTTAAAAAATGAAATCTATAGGTAAAATCATCCATGGAAAAATTATCCTGAATGGATGTTAGCTGTTAAGCCATTGATAGACAAGCTATCATCCATAGAACCACTGAGGTTACATGTAGAGTATGGGACTATTGTCTTAGGTAAGGAAAATAGAATAGATAGTTATGGATGGACAAGGGAGGGGAACGGAAATGGGAGAATCAAGCAATGAGGGGGAAAGGGAAGGGGACAAGGGAGGGACTATGAGGAAGGACAACTAAAACTAAAGGCCGTTTGAGGAGTCATATGAAAACCTAATACAGTAGAAGATTACTAAAAATATACACATTTGAAAATGGCCTAAATGAAATCATCGGGAGACAAAAATCCCAACTAGAAATCTCTTGTCACCAAATAAGGCTTCCAGGATAGGGAATGTATTATATCTAATAGAGTAGTTGTCTAAGTCATAGGATAGATCTTCTTGGCAGCTAAACTAGTTATTAAAGCACAGATAGAGACAGAGTGATCTTGACTCTGAATCCCAGGGTTTGAACTCACTCATTGTGGTGACTGGCGGTATGGGTGTAAGAGGAGCAGCTTCAGAGCTGGGGTCTAGAACAGGGACATGCAGTTCTCTATAGCACTTCTGGGGCCTAGTACATGGACTAACTCCCTGTGGGGACTGCACTAATGTCTAAAGCATTGGCTATTACAGGAATATATTAATTGTGCTCTGGGTATGGAGTATCTGTCCATAGTGGTGGTTAGAGTCTAATTTCTGGGTACACAAAGTTCTGCCTCAGAACTAGGTTCATAGCTTGGGTTTGTAGAAAGGTACAGTGACTCCAGGGATTGAGACAATAGTTATCTCTCTGGAATTGTTTAACTGATGTCTTGAGAAAGGCCCATGCATAGACACCTGAGGTCTCAAAGTGAGAACTGGGTCACCATGGTGATGGCTCTGGCATCTGAAGTGAAAAACAAACAAACAAACAAAACGAACAAATGAAGACAATAAAAACAAAAATCACCATGCAACCACAGCAGCAGGGTCTGTGATGAGGACACTTATGGAGAAGTTCCAGCATAGAGGTTCAGATGACACATGGCCTGTGAGAAGTGGTGGCCCTGGTTCCAGTCTCAGGATGGTACAAGCAGTTGCTCCTTGGAAGGGGTGTGTAAGGCTGTCTTCTTTTCCAATAGTTTGCAGTAGGAATCCTAAGTCACCTCCATGGAAAACAATGTCAATGTCTCCTACAAAACAATGGGGCCACCAAGGGGTACTGAGGGCTTCTGTGGCTGATAAGGACCACCTTTGCCTTTCTTCTTTCCATGTGTCTCCAGGCATCACCTATGTGTTGACTCACCAGTCATTTTCTCTCCATATATAATCTCTGGTGTTATGTTCCACCACGGTACTGAAGATTTTTACATGAGCCTTTGTGCCCCCCTCGCAGGGCTATTTTGACTCGTGGATAGCTGTCTATATTGTGGGGGAGGATGTGAGGGCGCATGGAGTCTGGAATTCTGTACTCCAACATCTTGCTGACATTACTTGTCTAGGAAATTTTTCTAAATTTCTAATACTACAATTTTACACTACCTAACTTAAAGCCACATTTTCAGTGGGAATCTATGATCCATAGCAGTCTCTGTCTGATATGTATTTTTTTTTTAATGGAGCAATGTCAGACAGAGAGACTAGAGAATAAAAAAGTAAGACTAGAGGGAGAAGAGAGTCCTGAACACTGGCACCTACTATGAGTGGTATTACTCCAAGCACTGAGTTTATATAATTGCCTGAAATCCCCATGCTTGGTGACTGTTGTTTATTCACATGTCTGAGGAGAATGAGTCGAGAAGTCAGTAACTTACCTCATGCAGTTGGGAATCGCTGGAGTCTGGCAGTCTGGCTCCAGGGTGTGGTCTCTAAACCCCCATTTCATGCAACCTCAGAGTTCCCCGAACTTTTCTTCACTCAGCTTCCCTTACTCCTGTGTGGCCATTCTTCATGACTACCTCTGTAAACAGCCTTTCTACCTGCCCTGTACACTAAAGCTCTTTGTCTTGTTCCTAAACTCCAAAATGTGAAAGCCGGTCGACACATGCCTTAATTCACTTTTGCCTTTTGACTTTATTCCAGATCATATGTATCATTTTCCCCAATTTTGGACCTATCCATGAGATGTCTGTGAAAAAAAACTGTAATAATCCTAGAGAGAATGAAAAAATAATAATGGCCAACAAACACTAGAATTAACTAGAATTCTAGAAGGATAAATTGTGCATTTTTTCCAACTTGATGCAAAACACTTGGCTTTTGATTTTGCTAGTCATCTGGAAAGTACCCATGATATACAACATGTATGGAACATCTACTATGTGTCTGCCATCATTTCTATCCCTCTTCTTGTATCAATCTCTTCTTGGATCAATTCATGTAAATTCACAAAAGCCATTCTGATTCACAGCTGAGAAAGTAGAGAAGCCCATTAATTTAGTGACACGTCTAATAGATGACTACAAATGGGATATGAATAGGTCTCAAGAAGTTTAAATATTCCACCCAAGCCCTAACCACTGCACTAACAGAATGTTTGGTCCCATGTACCACACACTCCATGAGAATAGAAATACAAACCTTCCCTTTTTTATGCAGTCTTGTTCTCTAGCGCAGCCTGGCCTAGAACTCTGAATCCTCCTCTTGTTCCCAAGTTCTGGAATTATAGGCATGTGCCACCACACTTTTCCATTATTCTTTTTTTTTTCTTTTTGACATGAGAAGCAGAGTTCTGCTCATATGTCCGGTGCCTGTTCCATATATCACTTTAAAACTCTTTCCGACAATATTCCCCAAGTGTCAGAAACTCTCACTGGGTTTTCCCTTTTCCACCTACTTAGTTTTTTTGCTTCTATTTTTGTTCTGTCCCCTCAGAAGTCTCCTGGAATCATAACATTCTCTGGCATCTCCCATTAACTGGAATTTACAGTGGGAATTTGTGATTAGTACAAGGCACGTCTCCCAAACCTATGACCTTAGATTGGGACTCCTATCATAATCAAAGGAAACCTGATGTCTGGGGGCATGGGGACTGTTCCTGCTTTGCTCAGCCTGGGATATCCAGGCATGATTCACACCTGCGCCTGTCTCCAGACCGTCTCCCATGGAAGGAGTGACCCGCTGCCCCCTTGGCAAGAGCTTCTTCCATGCTGCCAACACTGATCCTGCAGTATCAACATTCTAACTTTAGGGGAAAGGCTGTGGTGAATTTCTCAAAAGGGAATAGGAAGTCATTTTTTTTCTGAGGCAGCCTGACACCAAAGGGAGGCAGCAATAGTATAAGAAGTGTGGCTTGGCTAGGAAGAAGAAAGCCAGAGGAGACGCAAAGGAGATGGTAAGTTCATTTTTCTCTGTATGGGAAGTAGAGGAACTGAAGTGGTTTGTGGCTGAAGCAGACAGAAGAAAGGTTCAGAAAGTAAGGAACAGCAACAGCCATGGGGCTTTATGTTGAATAGCCTGAAGACATTTTTCTCTCTTTTTGAAGTGGGGTCTTGTTACCTTGGCTCATTAAACTCACTGTCCTCCTGTCTCAGCTTCCTGGGTAGGTAAGGCTTGTAGGTACACATCATCGTGCCCAGTTTGCAATATTTTTAAAGCCCATTTTGATTCTGCCAACATTCTTACAAGTTTTGATAATTTTACAAATAGAACCGTCGTGTCTTATAGAGGCAGGCATTTAACCAATGGCTACATGCTTAAGACTGGATGATATTGCCTTCTAGATCTCATTCTCAACCAGCTGCTGCTCTTTCTACAGAACTTGCAGGAACTCCTTTAAAGTAGATATTGGTGAGAATGTCACCTCTTTGCTAAGTCTGCTGGCTTCTGGGATAAATAGAAGGCTGAGAAAGAGCGTTGGGATGTATTTACAATTGAGCAGCTTTTTATGCTTAGCCTTCCTAATGCTTTCTCTTTCTTGGGAATTTTCTAGGACCAACCTAGAACATCCATGTGATTCTGATTTAAATTTTTATTTTTAGTGTGACTAACTCAGCCTCCTCACCTACAAATGGGATGTAATAATAATAATACTGTTATATGCTTATTATACAATATTATACACTCATTATACAATATCTAGTAGAGATTAAATAAGATTGCACAGAAGAGCATCTATACCTCTAGTTCTGTTTAAATGAAAAAGAAATCCCCAGAGGTATAGTGAGGTTGGGATTGAATGAAGATACAAAAGCAATACAATACAAGGTATTTTGAACTTGGTAAAGTTTCTGTGGATAAACCATTCATATATGGGGTACTTTCACATTTCGGAATTTGAAATCTTCTAGTCTGTGCCTAATGAGGTAACAGACCAGCATTTTCTTTTAAACATCTTTCTGCAGCATTCCTGAAGGGAGGAGATCTCCCCCCAACCACCGGTGTGTGTGTGTGTATGTGTGTGTGTGTGTAGAAAACCAAAGATATGAAAATGACATTTGAGCCTACAGTATTTAAATGACCATGACATAAAATGGGATTACCGTGTCTTTTTGCATGCCATTCTTCTGAACTGGTTGAGGTAAGTAAATGAACCATCAATTTCTTCCTTCTATTCTTTTTGGCATCCTCTTCTATTTCAAAGACATAAACAGAGTAAGTAGATCATCCCATTGTTCAGAAATCTGATGAAAGCTACAATTCCTCTGCCTAGAAGAAAATACAAATATCTACATAAAATGACCTTTATAGACAACCTGGACTTCCAGGTGGATCCCAGGAGACACTTAGGACTTTCCCTCCTGTGTATTATGCTCTGATGCTCCTCAGTTCTTGAAAGTAGGCTGGAACTCTGCAATGAAGTGCTAAGGACAAGCCCTGGTACTAGTCATAATACTTCTTGGATTTCTTCCTCTGTGAGCACATTTGATTCTTGGGATTCATAAACCTCAGTCTGTGTGAAATTTGCCTCATGTTTAGAGAGAGGTTTCAAATAGGACCAGAGAGAATGAAGTTAAGTTGTATCTAGTGGGATGTTGTCAACAAGCTCACATGGAACGGCTTCTGCTTAGGGATTTACAGCTAAGTTACCCTGAGGTCTGTCAAGGCTTCTGCAGGTCAAGGAGGAGCATCTCAGAATCATTTTGTGTGAACTGGTAACCACTTCAGGCTCCAGCTCCCAGTTTTTCCTGTTCCTTCTGTCATTTCTGCTCCTGCTCCATGGTATTCTAGGCTGGCAATCAGCTCTTAGAATATGCATCTTTCAAGCTCTATACATAGAAGATTATTAGTTAGATCATCAAAGAAATTATGACTTTTGACATAATGGGCAGTACTGAGCAAGGGCTCTGAGGAGGCTGAATTTGTAGTCATATTCACCATATTGCCTTCCAGGTGTTTAACGCTTCTGCTGGAAAAGCAGAGCAGATATTCTACAATGTGCAGTGCAGAGAAAATCCTTCATGTTTTCAGGGTTGTGACTTAGCTAAGGTCTCACGGTTTTTTGATAATTAAATGTGTGTTTTATTTTAATGCTACTGTTTCATTTTACATCATGATGATGCCTACTCTAATTTAAATATAGGCTTTGGTTCTGAGTAGTCAGATACTGGGATTTGTCTTACTTTTATTTGAAATATGTTTGACTTAGAGACAAGTATTTTTTTTCTGTGTGTTATATTTCAAGGTGTGGGGGGGTGGGGGCTGCTAGGATACTTCATTCAGAAAGTCAAAGGCACTAAGACTGAAACGATTTCAATGCTTTGTGATGCTGAGCTTTGACACTCTGAGGTTGTATGGCTCTTTATCCTTGATGAACCTCTCTCTTTTTTTCTATATCCATTCCCATCAACTCCAGCTGGTCAGACCATGGTAATGACCTCTGGTTTTTGAAGTTCAGGCTTCTTGTTCCTACTTAACAACAACCCTGCCAGGTGCATCTTTCCATGGAGCTTCAGAGCCCCGGAATTGGCTCCCTTTTGTTTATTGCCATTCAACAGGAGACCTATTTAAATTAGCTACCTTTTCAGTTGATCTCCAGAGTCCCAGTTTTCAACATCAGCCAGACCACAGCATACTTCTCTTACAGTCATCTCCTCCCACCCAGACAGTCTCTGGTGTACCATGTAATATGATAGGTACTAGATTATGATTATCACTTATTTACCAATTTAACACACTTACATGTGGTGAGAAGAGCTGAGAGGAGCCACGTATGTGCTAACAGGCATGACAGCCAGTTGTTGCAGATGTTCCTGTAGTTTCTTTGGGACCTGACAACCTGCACACTCCTGTATCTGCTCAGTATTCATGTTGGGGGCCTCATGTTCTAGAGCGAGGCCAGAAATGAAGATGCTTACCTGGGGACCTCTACAAATAGATGACAACAAGGTCTCGCAAAAACAAGAAGAGAAGCATGGAAGCAGAAATGCACCAAGGACAGAGAGTTGAGGGAGATCAAAGAAACGCTCAGAAAAAATTGCTCAAGACATTCGAGAAACATCACATTAAGGAAAATGAATTGGTCTGCAGCAAATGCTGGGGCACAGAGTTCAAGTAAGATAGTGGTAGAAAGCTGTCATTTAGTTGGATGATTTGCAAGTTCGTGATAACGTTCAAAAGGGCAGTTTGATAAGAAGGTGGAAGCTGTGGGCTGGAAAATGCAGAGGAGGCAGGGAGTTAGGAACTCATAGCTACAGAGGAAGCAGAGAAAGCCAAGGGGATCTGGGCAGGCAGACAAAGGTCAAGAAGGAATATCACCACTGCTTCCATGCTGCTGCACTGTGGTCCCCTCTCTGTGGCCATGGGACTCCGGTGTGCTGCTACCTCTTCCTACAAATGGGAGGCTAAAGGACAATGGTTCTCACACTTTCTCGCTGCTCCCTCCTTTACTCTGCAGTCATTCTAAGCAGCATTGCCAATAACCAGGGTGCTTATACAAGGCTGATGCAGTCGCAGGATGTTATTCTAGTGACCCAGTCAATCTCAGACTCTTTTCCAGCCACTTCCAGTTTGAAGTAGGCTACCAGGCAGCATTAAAGATTAGCAGAGTGCATGGCTGCTTCTTCTAGAGAGGTATTTCCTCTTGCTGCAACACTTCTTGGTTGGTCAGATACAGGGGCTCCTTAACTCTTCAGCATCCTAGATCCAATACTATCCCTAAAGCTGTGCTGGGGAACAGGAGCAGGTACAAAAGGACCCTAAGGACATTTCAGAGGAAAACTGTTACTAAGTAAAACTCCCAAATATTACCTCCCTTCATATCCACATATAAAGTCCTGTCAGCTACCATTAAGCCAATAGGTAAACTTACTACACAGGGGTTTGATTTGGGTGTCCATTAAATGTAGTCAAAATGAGGAGATCCACCTGAGTATGGTGCCTTAATCCCAGCACATGGGAGATGGAGGCAGGAGGCTGAGGAACTGGCTACATAGCAAATTTAAAGTTAACCTGGACTACATGAGAATTACCACAAAAGAATTAATAGATCCATGAGCCTTTTGGAAGCTGTCTAATTGTCGCAAATAGATATTTCCTCACTGTTTCCAAAGTTCATGAGCCTTGTAAGACTTAGAATTGATGTGCTGACCTGATGATGAGAAGTAGTGATCATCCATTAGCAGACCAGAACACCTACTGTATAATGCCAGGGAGGGAAATGCTGAATTGATTTGGAGGAATCCTTACATCTTCTATTGGACTGAAATAGCCAAGGAAGATGAGTATTAGTATTTGATGATGTTGAAGAACAGATGCATCAGGATGAAACAGGATGCAAATAGATTTGTGTTCTCCATTTTTCAATGCCATGACTTCATCAGGGCACTACCAATTTTCTAAAACCTTGCTTTGTTTCTAACCACTCCCCCCCCCTCTCTCTCTCTCTCACACACACACAACTGGTACAATAGAGAACGGGTTGTTGAAATTTTAGTTTAAACAAAATCCTTGCTTGAAAGTTTATACAAATAGACAACTCAGAATGGTGAGTACCTCTGTTGGGGTTGTATTTAAACAAAAACTTATTTAAAAGTTTAAATAAGTTAATACAGAAAACAATTAGTATGTTTGGGCAGGTGATTTTTTTTAAAACTTAGAAGCTGCATCAACTCACTCTCCTCATACATCTCTTTAGGTAGACTCCAGAGATCCAAAATGCCGAGAAATATCATTAGTGGGACCAGTCACAAGACCATAGGTAGAACAGCACTGGATTTATAGCTGTCATGTTGTTCCTCAGGGTGGAACCCAGCCTAGGGTCAGAACCAGTGCTAGGTCCCTGTATCTGACTACACTGCAGTATTCATCACTAAGAGCTTTGCTCTCACATCTCCAAAACTTTGGAAAACTGCATAGTCTCCCCTCCTTTTAGAGGGGAGAGTTAAACATTTCCTTCATAAAAATTGAAATTAAGATTAGATTTCAAGAATATTACAAATATTACAAACAGCTTTAAGAAGCTGTTACTGTATTCCGTGTTAAAGTTCAAAAGGGCAATTAAATGCTAGAGTGAGCTGGTGATACAACCCATAAGAAACAATAACAAGAGTATTTGTACTGTTCACTTTCTCGCCTTAAATAGTGATCCCCATTTTACTTCCTCTACAGAATCTTAGCCTGACATATTTCTGAACACAAGGTCTTTCTTATTTATAAAAATAAAACATAATAAATAAAAAAGTAAAACATCTTTAATTGGAACCATAATCTTTGCAAGTTAACTTTTTAAAAAGTCACCAGTGTGACAATTATTTTTAGTATACAAATATACTAATAATTTTGGCTTGGAGAGATGACTATGCAGATGTCAGCTGACTAATATGCTGGCTGATGAGGACACTCTACCTTCTTATAAAAGCCAGAATTCAGAAAGTCCAGGGTAGAAAGTTTGAAGCTGGCAAAGACACCTGTCACTGTCTAGGAGATTTGCTCTGATCTGAGTTGTGCACATCTTGGTATCTGGTCAGCCTGTGGTCATTATTGCATCTGCGTCTTCAGACATTTGCCATCCCACACCGTGCCCTGTATCATCTGTGGTAATTCAGAATTTCTATACAGTAATGGCTTCAGATAGCTATTTCTCTGAAGGAGTAGAAAGACTACATTTAAATGCAAAGCCATTGTTTTTATGTTGGTCATGATATGAGAGCAGCTTTGGAGGATACTGGTACCCTGCTCAACTTGGCCATGCCTCACACTCCACATCCTCAAAGTCAATGCAGCATGAATTTGAAATCTTAGGGGTTTATGAAGGTAAAAATGTCAAGTAGACAGCGTCTGTGTCAAAGTCTGTAGTTGTCAATACAAGTTCAGTATTGCTGTGTGCAATAATAACAAGGTTTCTAGAACCTGCCTGTCCAAAATCATCTTTAAAGGCCAATAAATTTGATATGCTCTTTGAAGCCTCATTCGGGTGGGTCAAAAAAGTGATGAGAAAGCAGAAGGAAGTGGAAGGTTTGAAATACGCTCCGGCTGGAAATAATTGTCCCAGTGATTATCAACTGAATTTCTATGGTTCCATTGGTTGTTTGTAGATAGTAAAAGGAAGTTTTCTGTTTTGTTTCAGGCCAGCTGCCTAAAAGCTTCCTGGAAGCCAAGACTCCAGAGTGTGGTCTTGGGAGGCGTTCAGCTCATCTGGATCATTGCTTTGATCTCTGGTAAATTCTGGGTGAACCCTTCATCTGACTTTGAGTTCTTAGGATCAGTCCTAGGGCCAAATGGGCATAGTTTGGGTCTGTGGTCTACTCTGAGGCATGGGAAGCTATACACACCCAAAATCCTGAAAGAAACACACAGCTGATACTACCACAGTGATCTACAAGGCTTCAAAGACAGCAAGCCGATACATCTAGGACCAACATCATCACTAGACAAGGCAGACACGGGCCCAAAGTAGTCTTAGCAACTCACAACAATATTTGAGTTTCTTTAAACATAATTTTGGGGCTAGAAAGATGAATCAACAGTCAAGGGCACTTGCTGTTTTTCCAGAGGACCCAAGTTTACTTTCCAGCACTTATACCATGTGACTTACAACCTCTTGAAACTCCAGTTTCAGGGACCTGACATTCTACTGACTCAGCCAATGCCTGTACACAAGTGGTGCACACAAACCCACATAAGCAAGCGCGTGCGAATACACACACACACACACACACACACACACAAACACAAAGAAATCTTTTTTTAAATAAAAGTACATTTCTCCAAAGTCAAAGTAAACATTTTAATACATAATATTAATACATTCATCACTGCCTTTAGTTGAGGAAAACAATAGTGTAATCCTGGCTATGTCAAAATCAATCTCCTCTCTTGCTATGTAGACTAGGCTGGCCTCAGGCTTGTGATCTTGACCTCACAAGGGTTGAAGCTACAGGTGTGTACCATCATGTCTGCCTGCCTCCAGACTAAGTCTAAGGCAAAACAGCACCACAGAGGGGCTAGTGAGGAAAGTTGAGATATGACAGATTCTCATGGATCAAATAGAAACAGAATTTTATAAACAGGAAGGGAGTCGTTTCCAGGCCTGATTGCTGGCATTGTTCACCTCTTCTGGGGAACTGGCCTCTTCTGCCCCATGAGTTCCCATGGGCTCCAATAACAACCTCTGTATCAAAGTGAACAGACCTTATTTCATTTTTATATCACACACACTTACAAGGAAGAGTTTGTTTTAATGCACAAATAAGTAGCTTTGGAATGCATAATTTACCACAGAGAAACAGTGAAGAGAAGTAAAGTGTGGGACTGCAAGTAGGTAGATGTTTCTAACCCTAACTCTGTTGAAGCCCTACAGCATTTCAGTAACTCAACAGGCATCTGCTGCAGGATTAGAAAGGGTCAAATACTGTGATTCACAGTAAAAATCCAGGGCTAAGAAAAGATCCACAAGCAACCAGATTCACAGTAGTGTGTATGGGTCACATCATAGAAACAGGTATTACAACACGGGGCAGTAAGGGATGTGGGAGCCTGAAGGAAGGAAGATGATGTTTACCTGAAGCCACCAAGGGAAACAGAAGAGGAGAAATTTACCAGGAATGAAGGGAGGGTCACCAACATAGTAGAACAACCACAAAGGAAAACAAAGAAGTAGCCAGGCATGGTGCTACATGCTTGTGAACCCAGTACTTGGGAGGCTGGAGCAGAGTTCCAGGCTAGCCTGAGATAAGCTGTAAGATCCTGACTCAACAAGACATAATAAATAAAGTAGATGTTCTACAAGGAGGAAAGTAAACATGGTAGGCACTGAGACTGATTCCTCAGGAGGTTCCAGATCACAGAGCATCTCATTCCCACCACACATTCATGTGCTGCCTAATGTGAGCTTGGACAAGCAATGCCTATTCTCCTTTGTTTATTAAACAAGAGTAGACCGGATTACCTCTCTGATATCTTGGGATTGCCAATCTTTTAACATCTAGAATCTTTTAGAAGATGCTGCTTTCCCTTCTGAATTTGTAGGCACTTTTAACTGGAAAATAGCAAACACTCATTTCTCCCTAAAATAACATCAGGCACAAAATAGCACAAAATAGCCTTGTTCCTGGCATCCATCTCAGGTAAGCCATTCATCTTACTTGCAGAAGTGAGCTTAGGAAGATGCTCCACCCAGTGAATGACACTAACCAGTGTTGATCTCCGCCCCCCCCCCCCCAGAGTTTGTAAACCAGAAGGAAGTGGCAGCATGGACCTATAACTACAGCATAAAGGCATACTCGTGGAATTACTCACGGACATTCTGCCAGAAGCACTTCACAGACTTAGTGGCCATCCAGAATAAGAATGAAATCGCTCACCTCAATGATGTCATCCCATACTTCAACTCTTACTACTGGATTGGGATCCGAAAGATCAATAATAAGTGGACCTGGGTGGGAACCAATAAGACTCTCACAGAGGAGGCCGAGAACTGGGCCGACAATGAGCCCAACAACAAGAGGAACAACCAGGACTGTGTGGAGATCTACATCAAGAGTAACTCCGCCCCTGGCAAGTGGAATGATGAACCCTGCTCCAAACGCAAGCGGGCCCTGTGCTACACAGGTGAGGCTTCCTCTGAGCTCATGTCATCAGCTCTTAAAAATATGTTCTTCCTGGTTGAGGAATGTGACCACTTGAGGGAGTAACATGGAGTCACAAGGTCGGGAACAAGACAATTCAGAATTAGTTGGCATTCCTGAGCACCTTGGAGAATGTAAGGTCGAGATTAGAGAAAAGCATCTATGTAAAACTAGAGGGGATGTCAGTATTGCCCAGCCCACCCTCCTTATTACTAATGACACAATGCTCAGGAAATGTTACTTTTTCCCTTTGGTTTGTTTTTTTCTAGACAGGATTTCTCTGTGTAGCTTTGGAGCCTGTACTGAAACTTGCTCTGTAGACCAGGCTGGTCTGGTCTAGAACTCACAGAGATCCGTCTGCCTCTGCCTCCCAAGTGCTGGGATTAAAGGTGTACACTGTCACTGCCCGTCAAAATGTTACTTTCTTAAAGCCATGAGGCTTTCAAAAACTTTTTACAATAGAAAGAGCATTGAAAATTACTGACATAGTTAGTACTGCAATTTCTTTTCTGATGACAAAGGTCACTATCACTAACTGGTATGATTTTCCAAAACCCAAATAGGATCCATCCCTGACAAACCAGTATTCTAGACAGATAATGACATCAACTGACATTTTGCAGTATAAGATGTAATGGGGTTTCCTATAGGAGAGGGATGACATGTAGACAGGAATATTGCAATGAGACATTAAGTTTGGTTGCAGAAACAATTATCTGCAAGATTTGCCAAGTCTCAGCACACATTATCATGAGAAGATTTATCCTTTGAGTTTTTGTTAATCTCCTTCCTGACATCAAAGAGTTTGTCCACACATCTATTTGTGACTGCACTTGTCATTCTGTGCCTACCCATAGCTGTATCCTCATTTGAAAATACTAAATGACTCATCCAACAGGAGCTTTGTAAGTTAGGGCTGGAAACCCTGCACCAGCATGTATTAGCATATGACAGTACAGATTGACAGGAAGTTTGTTGCTATCCCTAAGAGACACCACTGGAAAGAATACCCACTAGCACTGAATGCCAATCGCACTCATCATCACTTAATGTAATTCTGTTTATGTCATTTGTTTAGTGTTACATTTAGTCCTCATGGCACTTTAGCAGCCAGGCATTGCTGTCATTGTGGCAGCACCTTTCACAGGGCATAGGACAGCCCTCAACATGGCTCCTGAGAGGGTGAAGTCTGTGCCTCCTGCGAATGTCTATGATTCTGATCCCTCTTATATCCATGCAGCCTCCTGCCAGGACATGTCCTGCAACAAGCAAGGGGAGTGCATCGAAACCATCGGGAACTACACCTGCTCCTGCTACCCAGGGTTCTATGGGCCAGAGTGTGAATACGGTGAGACTGGCACTTGGGTGCTGCTGTTGCTTTGGCCATTGATCTTACGTGAGCGATAATGCCAGAAAGTAAATTATGGTTTAGCCTCTCCAGAAAGTAAAGGCAAGTGGGAGGTTCCCTCTGCCATCTGTCCACCTGCTCGACACTGTTGTCTCAAAACACCCAGGATGAAAATCACTTTATTTTTTGGAGAGAGCATTGATTCATGACATTTTAAGGAATAAATGAGAAATATAAAGACAGAAAGAGAAAATGGAAGTCTTGGAGTTTAATTTTACCATTTGAATTAAAAAATAATGAGCGAATTGAGTTATCCAAAGAAGTGATTATTTTCTAAGATGGTGGCAATACAAAGGAACCAAATTAAGGTGGAGGGCTTGGGCTAAGCAGCTAAGGAGGGAAAACAAACAGAGTTACAACTTGCTGTGGATAGCAGAGTTTTCAAGTCTACAATGAGAAAAAAAATCACTATGTTTGTCCCCCACAGTCCAAGAGTGTGGAGAGTTCGACCTTCCTCAACACGTGCTCATGAACTGCCAACACCCTCTGGGAGACTTCTCGTTCAGCTCGCAGTGTAGTTTTCACTGTGCTGAAGGATATGAATTGAATGGACCCAGCAGGCTGGAATGTTTGGCTTCTGGGAGCTGGACAAATAAGCCCCCTCAGTGTAAAGGTATGCAGGCCTAACTTTTCCCATTCCTGCTAAACAAGAGAACTTGGGAGAATGCATATGCGGCAGTGAGATTTCCATTAAAAACTTGTGAAATAGGGGCTGAAAAGTGGTTAAGAGCACCGGTTGCTCATCCAAAGGATCCAGGTTCAATTCCCACCATGCACATAGTGGTTCACAGCCATCTGTAACTCCAGTTCCAAGGGATCCATTGCTGTCTTTTCTTTTTTTAGTTTTAATGGGGAGCGGGGTTGGCAAGGTGGTGGTAGTGAACATTTCTTTTTAAGATTGCATTTATTTATTATGTATACAGTGTTCTGCCTGCATGTGTCCCTACAGGCCAGAATAGAGCACCAGATCTCAATTGAGGTGGTTGTGAGACACCATGTGGTTGCTGGGAATTGAACTCAGGACCTCTGGAAGAGCAGTCAGTGCTCTTAACCGATGAGCCATCTCTCCAGCCCCCATTGCTGACTTTTGACCACTGCAGGCACCAGGCAAACATGTTATATACTGATATACATGCAGGCAAAACACCCATACACATAAAATGTCTACATTAAAAAAAAAAAAGCTTGAGAAGTTAATAAGGATCTACATTAGCTGGAAATTCTAGTTACCACAATTACTAGTCAATCAGGTTAACCCTGATTTTCATTTTCATGGAGCATCTCCTATATGTTAAGAGGTGGTAGTTTATTTTTTTAATTTCTGGGAAAAAGCATCATTTTGTTTTGTTACTTGTAAAGTAAACTGTGAGCAACAATGAGAATTTAGGATTAAGCTTATACCATTGTTTCTTAGAGGAAAAAAAAACATAGTTATTTGGATCTCTGAATAGACATTGAGTTCTACTTAACCAACTAGGAATGACCTTGCCTGCCACTTTGGGAAAGTGTAAATGCCACAGAATCCCAAAGCTTCCAAAGTGCTGGCTGTAACTTGTCCCGGAGTGAACATCAATCATAGCTCTCTGCTTATTTTTGGCCTCCGAGTGCTCAGCACTGAGCAGGCTTGAAGGAGGAAGTCTGGCCAGCACTCTAGCTTCATTGTGAAGAAGGACTAAGGACTGTCTTCAGTTGGTCAAAGATGGAACATTGGAGCAGCTAAGGGTGGAAATAGCTCCTGTCCCAGAATGTAAAAGCAAATGTCAGAACACTGAGACATATAATATCCACCCCACCCTGTCTTAGCTAGAACACAGATGAAACTGACCATCTTTGAGAAGCTGTTCTGAACTGCCCGTTTTTAATTTTTCATCCTTTAGTTACTACTGAGCTATATTGTTTAACTCTGGGCTGGAAAAAGTAGTATCAGACTATGGACAACCAAAAGGCCAATTTTGCTATGATCAAAATAGAAAAATCCCACTCTTCCCCTAACTCATATTCCACAAGCAGTTTCAGAATAGCATTGTTCATGTATTTCCCATAAGAGGGCAAATACCTCAATGCATGGACCTTCAGGGACAGATTTATAATATACAAAGCATAAAGAAAGTTGAGGAGAGCTTGGAGAACTCTGTGTTAAGATGTTCAGGTCACTCTGAGGATTGACACTCCATGCCAGGATGGTTAGAGCCCCCTGGTCTCTACATCTTCCCAGGTCCACCTGTGTTTCCACAGACAGTCCCACACTGTTCTCTGTGGGCGTGGCTTCCCTCCATGTGGGTATTCTCCCCTTTCTTAATCACTGGTTTTCCTATTCAGCTGTGCAGTGCCAGAGCCTGGGAGCCCCTATCCATGGAACCATGGACTGTGTGCACCCGCTTGCTGCCTTTGCCTACGGCTCCAGATGTAATTTTGAGTGTCATCTTGGATATCAAGTGAGGGGCTCAGACACACTCCATTGCACTGGCTCTGGCCAGTGGACTGGACCATCGCCAACTTGTGAAGGTAAGGTTTATTTTTATCAGCTCTCAATATAGCCTAGAAGGAGCCATGCCATGGTAGAATGATTAAGTGCTCTTAAGGACAACACAGCCTCCTCTAAGATGATATTTGTTCAACCCCTAGGAGCTGAGAAATTTCTCATCTATGAAATGATGCTAAGAATTGCTTGGTGCATTGTGAGAATTAAGCATATGAGATGCACACAATGAAACAGCAGGTAGAAGCAGGATCTGGTGTTGAATGTGTGTGTAATCTCAGCACTTGAGAACCTAAGACAGTAGGGTTTCTGCTAATTAAATGTCAACCTGAGTTGCAATGGAGGCCAGCTTGGGCTGCATAATGACACGCTGTCTTAAACATATACTAAGATAAAGTAAAGACAAAGAGAAGAAATGGCAAGTATAAAGTACAAAGCATAGACTTGGGCACTTGCTTACTTTAGGCTCTGCCTATTTCAACCACATCCCCTTCCTGTCCCACTGGCATATGCACTCTGGAGGGCAATATCCTATACCTGAGAAGAAGTTAAAGCAGTATCTATGGGGATAATGAGACATCTAGAGTCAAAATCTAGAGTCAAAAGGCAGCAAGCAGGTGCACACAGTCCATGGTTCCATGGATAGGGGCTCCCAGGCTCTGGCACTGCACAGCTGAATAGGAAAACCAGTGATTAAGAAAGGGGAGAATACCCACATGGAGGGAAGCCACGCCCACAGAGAACAGTGTGGGACTGTCTGTGGAAGTAGGCTCTGCAAAGGGATAAAGGAACCGGCATTAAAGAATTGCTGTGGTGCAAACTTTGGTGATTACATAATACATGAAGAGTCAACTGTGTGCAGTTGCTTCGTCCCTTCATATTATAGGGCAGAGATGGGAGAGAGAGAGTAGAAGACTGAAGGCTTGGTTAGTAAAACTCCCAGACCTGGATTACAAGCCCAGCTCAAATACTGTTAGTGGTAAGACTTCTGGGAGGAGCTAAGGAAATGGTTCAGTGGGTAAAGTACTTGCTACGCAAGCCTGGGTACCTGAATATGGGTTCTCATAAATAGCGTAAAAGCCAGCTGTGGTGGCATGTGCCTATAACCTCAACATTTGAGCTGGAGAGCTACAGATCAGAAGATCCCTTGAGTTTGCTGGCCAACCAGACTAGGGCAGCAGCAAACCCAAGGCTCAATAAGAGACAATCAGAGACAGACACCTGACATCAACCTGTGGCCTCTACACTATCACACATGGGCAGTCATGTGCACATGCAGGTCATGCGCGTGTACATACACCACACACACACACACACACACACACACACACACATACACACACACATACACACAGCACAGCACAGTCATACACCTCAGCACATATACTTTAGAGAGATTACACGAAATTTATGACTACCATTTTTTTTCTCAGCTATAAAGTAAAAGAAGAGCATGAGAGGGCATTTGGCCTCCTATTGCTCTGATTCTGCAAAAACTAGAGGTGAGGGCAAAAGGGTAGTATCTGTGCTCTGCAAATTGCAGAAGTATCTAGAGACATACCATCTCCACAGAAGGGTTTGGGGAAAACAGTCCTTATGAGAGCTGGGGTCATTCAGAGTACAGCAGTATGAGGGACTCACTTCTGGCTGCACACACTTGGCAAACAATGTCTGCTTAGGATGACATCCTGTGTTCTAGGATACAGGACACTTGAAACCATCATACAGTACTAACTAGGTCAGAGCATCTACAGTAAGCTACATTGTCCGTCTGCTTCCTCATAAGCCCACTTTCTCTGTGTCTGTTCTTTTATAACCCAATAAACATTTAATGAGCACCCAGAATGTATCAAGCAGAGTACAGGGCTCCATGATACAGTTCTGAATGGCTACTCCAGCATCAAGGAGACTGTGATGTAAGAAGGAAGAATTGCAATCATGCATAAGGAGCACAGTGCAGGGTCTGAGGAACCCACACATGGAGTCCCTGCCTCCCAGTTAGGGTAGGAAGGAAGCCTACTGAAGGAAAATAATGTCAAAACTGAGATGTGAAGAGTGAGCCAGACAAAGAGGGACATGGGAAGGGTAGTTTTCCTTTTGGACAAAGAAAAATGTGAGGTTTTGAATATGTAGACAATGTGGGCGAGAAAGAAGCAGCCTCTCCCAATAGACTACAGAGAAAGACTATATCTGGCATTCTCCCTTCAGCCATTGCGTGTGAACCTCTGGAGACCCCCGCCCACGGAAGCATGGATTGCTCCCCATCCACAGGAGCACTTGAATACAACAGCAGCTGTGCTTTCACTTGTGCAGAGGGCTTCGTGCTGAAAGGAAATGATGCAGTTCAGTGTATTGACTTGGGACAGTGGACAGCCCCAGCCCCAGTCTGTGAAGGTACTGTGACACTGAATCATTCTGCTGTGCCTCTTGGGTATGCTTTTCTGTTGGATGTTCACAGACAGCCTGAGGTGTGCTGGGCTCTTTGTGTTTGGTGCCAGTGATCAAACAGTGGGCAAAGTGAGTTTTAAGCACTCACTTTGTGCTTAAACTGTGTTCATGACAGCACAGTTAAGGTGAGAGTTGCCTTGGTTCACATGTTTGGAGTGGGCTGAGGAAAACAATGACGTATGAAGGACAGCATGAGATGGTAGAAGAGGAATGGGCGAGGCAGTTGGTCTAGGTCTATCATTTTTTTTGTCAGCAGGCTTTGGGGATTTCTGAGTTCTGTGACTTCTGCTAAAGTGAGGCACTGATACCAGCTTTTCCTACTTCTGTTACCAACAGTTGTGAGTCAATGTGATCTGAAGCCACTAATACTGCTGTCAACTTTATAAACACAAAGAAAGCCATAATGAAACAGTTACTTTATAAACGCCAAGCCTGTGGTCTTATAGACACCAAGTCAGTGAGTGAAATGGATACATAAAGTCCGACATTCACATATACTAGAATACTATTCAGCATTAGAAAGGGAATACCAATATAAGCTCCAATATGGATAGATCTTAAAGACACTGATAAGGGAAATGAGTCACCCTCCAAAAATCAATATATGATCATATATATATATATACACATATATATATTCATATATTCTTTAAAAAATACAGTCACAGAGACAGAAAGTAGAATGATAGGGTAAAGGGTAAGAGGAATTACTGTTAGGAAGCATGAACGCTATATGACAATGCAGATGCAAATGACATAGAACTAGACACTTCAGTTAGCTAAGTGGCAAATGGCAAATTTTATGCTTCATGTATTTAGCATGATGGACACATTGAAAATAAAGGCAGGCAGTGGAGGAATAAAAGTGCATGCCTTATGGTGATAAAACTGTTAGCGTGGCTAAATGTGCTGTTATGTGTTGTCTAGGAGACACAGATATACTAAGTAAGCCCTGTGACTTTCACAAGGGACTGCTCAAACCACTTTGTATCCAGGCAAGTAAATGTCAAATGATTCAGAACAGATGGTTGGATATTTTCTTAAACATCTGGAATTGAAGCCTCCATAACTCCTTTTATTGTCCTCACTAGTGTTTCTATGCCAATAGTCAAGGTCTACAGCTGCTGAACAGCCCTGAGAATAGCTCTGTTGTCTGCCAGTGCCTCAGTGGCTGCTACTGTGGCTAGTAGCCAGGATTTATTGAGCATTTCCTGTGATCTCAGATACTCTAATGCTAAGAGGTAGTGAAAGCTATTCATATTTTGGAGGTGAAAAAAAGAAATAAGTGTGCTCTCTCCATATAGACTGTTGTATATTTACAGATAATAGTGTAGTTGAGAGACAATGGGAAGGAAAAGATAGGGCAATGGGAATGAAGTAAGGGACAATTATATATGCAAGTGTGTATATATATAAAATGTTGTGGTGAAACCTACCATTTTGTATGCTAACTAAAATTGTTTTACAAAAGATCCCACTTTAATCATGATCATAATTTTATTCTGCTTTTCCATTTAACATTATGCATAGAAATGTCTCTGAAATATTTTGCAAGTAAAATACATGAAATTTAAGAACTATGAATATTATTTTCATGAATCCATAATTTACTTTTTGTCCCATTTATGCTTGTTTTATTCTTACTGACAATGTCTTGACAAAAATCACTGAGTTGATTTTAGTATGAATCTCAAGAATTTCTATACTTTTCAGGGATCCTTGAGTCCAAAAGTATGCTAACACCAGTTCAGCCAACACTGGTTCAAACACTTTTCCTTGTGAAAATCCATCAAGTATCATTGACATTAATGGCAATCTTTTTAATCTCCCAAGTTAAACAAGCCCCACTCAGGAATCCTCAGGCTTTCACTAAAAAGAGCTGATAGGTCAAAGCCAACAACACTTATATATGACTGTTTCCTTACCCTCTGCCTTCCTTGCCCCTTAGCTTTGCAGTGTCAGGATTTTCCAGTTCCGAGAAAAGCTCGGGTGACCTGCTCAGATCCCTTTGGTGCCCTGAAGTACCAATCAGTCTGCAGCTTTTCCTGTGATGAAGGCTCACTCTTGGTGGGAGCAAGTGCAATAAGATGCTTGGCTACTGGGCACTGGAGTGGGCCTCTTCCAGAATGCCAAGGTAAGAATGTCTTCTCCCCATTTTCTTGGGAGTAAGTTGGAAGCAGTGTTCTTAAAGGCTATGTCTGTGGTGATAACTGTGTAGTGTCTGTCTACCATGAAGTTATCTGGGGAATGAATGAGTTCTGTCACTAACCCCTTCATCTTCTATCCCAAAAACCCAAATACAAGTGTAATCAGAGGCTAAGCAGATACTGAGTGTCAGGCTATTTGGCAGTGGATATCAGCAATGCAGTGACTTTTGCACTGTCCTTATCAGGACTGACAGGCTCCTATCATGAATAGTACTCATTGGCTTAGCATAGTACTCATTGGCATAGCAGAAAGAAGATGAAATGAAAACTTAGCTTTGAGTATTTTTTCCAGCACTTTCTTCTTAGGGATCATGGCAAGTCCTGTTGGAATGAGAAAGCTAGGGTTACAGAACCTAGTTGCAAGTGTTCTCTGAGATCTGCATAACACTGTAGAGACACGCTTAGGATAGAGTGGGAGGGTGGGAAAGGAAGAATACATGCCATGAGCTATAGAAATTAGGACACCCTCAAAAGAAAGTAATGTGCAGATTCATTCATTTGTATCCGTGTTAGACTTGGTGTTAAGAAGACAATGCATCCTGTGAACACACCATAACATCCTGTGTGAAGTGGAGCTGGTCTAACCACCTCACTTTATACATGGAAGCGCAGATTGTGATTTTCAAATTTTTCCAGTTCTTTTTCTTTCAGTGTATCCAGTGCTCTAGCCAGATTTATGACTAAAACTCTTAATGAGATTTCCATTTATAAAACCTACAAATAGAAACACAATAAGAAAACAGAAAAATAAACACAACCCTCTAAAATATCAACCCCCTTAAATAAATGGTGTTAACATTCTAGAACAGAGTGCTTCCTATATTTTCTCATCCAATTTTTCCTTTGCAATAGTATTTGCAATAGTATTTTAATAATATTCTTAATATATGTAATATGAAGTATTTCTATATTATTTATCATGCCTTTAACTTTGCATAGGCCTTCAATATCTAAGTAGAAGCAAGCAGGTCATGTTTTTCATGAAGAGGAAACCACTTGCTATTCAGAGCAGAGAAGTACAGACACACACATACACCATTGTAAATCCCAAAATGCATATATGAATAAACAAATGAATTAATTAACAGCTTAATAGGATTTCGTTCATGCCAGACATCAGAACCTATGTCGAGCAGGAGTTGAGGTTCAGAATGAGGAACTGGGTCAGGAGAGAGCAGAATGATGCTATGAGCTTGTCCCATCAGCTTGCATCCTCACTACACTGCAGTTCACACAACTTTAAAACGAGCTCAGGATTCCTGAACAGAGTTATCAGAGTTATCAGGCCTTTCTGGGAAAGCCAGACCTTGCATTACCCCCACAGCTCTGCCTATGGGTGTTCACAGCCAGGAGGTTGTCACTCACCCCAGCTTCCTGTGACCTTCCAGTTCCCTTCTGCTTTTAGCCCTTTGTTTACTCTGGGGAAACTTTCTCCTCTTCTTGTTAGGCACACATCAAGTGAAAAACCCACATGTGGTTGAGGCAGGAAGGTACCACAAGGCCTGAAATCCACAAGCTATTGTGACACTTCCGAAGGAGAGCATGTTATCAGATAATTTCCCTTGTCACTGTCCCCACAGCCCTCCACACTCACCCTTGCAAAGTCACAGGAAAGCTGGAAATGACTCTGCCAAACCAAGGACCCACACCCTTGCCCTGCTGCATTTCCAAATTATAGCTGTCCCATCCCTGATCTCTCTTTCTCTCTCTCTCTCTCTCTCTCTCTCTCTCTCTCTCTCTCTCTCTCTCTCTCTCTCTCTCTCCTTTCCTCCCTCCCTCTCTCTCTCTCTCTCTTTCTCTCTCTCTCTCTATCTCTCTCTCTCTCTCACACACACACACACACACACACAGGAAGACTTTGCAAGTGGCATACAGTACCTTAATCTCTGTAGAAGTTGGTTAGATTGAGGGAAGTATTGTTGGAGACACTAAGAAACTAAGTTACAAACAACATCTTAAAACTTCATGCTATTGTATTTGCTGACCAGTAAGCAGCTGACCTGGGACAGCTGTGTCACTTCCGCTGGTTTAAAGCCAGCACCGAGCAACCAAGCCAAGCAACAAAGAAGTCCCTGAGACCATGCTTACATGATCGTCTTTCCTGAGTGTTGGCATGAGTCTATTGACTCTTGGGTTTCATTGCTCTGTGAAGCAGAGAGACAGACAGACAGACAGACAGACAGACAGACAGACAGACAGACAGACACACACACACACACACACACACAGGAAGAAGATGGATTTCAAAATGCCCAAGTTCTTTTTTTTTATGCATATAGAGTATTTTTTATTTAATTTTATATAACAAAGTCCAATTAAATGAAAACAAACATTTATACACAATATTTGGGAATTTGGGCGTCGTTCTTTCCAAACTACTTCCTGCTGGTAAGGGGCGCTGTCTTGGGGGATTCGAAGAAGATTCAGATATCCTAGCTGTAGTCTGTAGGGCTGTTTTGTCCAGCTGTTTGGAATGTAGGATCAGCTTGTACTCTGTTTCAGGCGGTTTGGTGTGATCAAACCACATTAGTCTGGAAGGAATCCACATCTTTTCATTTTCTGTGGAAACAAAAATAGAAATACTTTTCCCCAGTAACTTGTTCTTCAACTTAAATTTTGGAGTCAAAGCATTTTTTTTTTATTTTTTATTTTTATTATTTTACATGTCGATCCCAGTTCCCTCTCCCTCCCTCCCTCCCTCCCCCCAAGCCCTCCCTCCCTCCTTCCCTTCCTTTTGCCCTCTCTACCCTCTCCCATGCACTCTAAACACCCTCCCCTCCCAACCCCCCACCACAATACAATATGTAGGGGAATGCCATCCAGTTGGGGTCATGTAGATCTGACAGGTCCTGTGAAGTAGGGACTAGGGCTTCTCTCCTATCTCTAGAATAAGGCAGTTATCCCTCCATGGGGGATATGTTTGCAAAGTCCTTTTGTGCACCAGGGATACATCCTGGCTCCACTGTCTGAGGTCTCTTAGACTGCTCAGACCTTCTGGCTGAGACCCATATTCAGGGGGGTCCGAGTCAGACCCCTGTTGGCTTCCCAGCTATCAGTCTAGTGGCCCTTAGCTCCTCCTTGTTCAGGTAAGCTGTCTCTATGTACTTCTACCGCATGGTCTTGTCCTCTCCATCTGCTTCTGGGTTCTAGTTTGACTCAGTGTTTATGTATGGGTGTTTGCTCCTGTTTTCAACAGGCATTAGTTGAGGACTCCATGGAGAAGTTAGTTGTTGATCTCACTCTCCGGGAAGGGCATTTATGATAGCCTTTCCACAGAAGCTGAGATTGTTAGTTGGGAGCAGTCTTGTAGTTCCCTCGACCTTTCTTTGTGTTCAACTTTATCTTCAAACCAATATTGGCTCCCTCTTTTATGTTCTCTCTCTCTGTCTCTGTCTCTCTCTCTCTTTCCTATTTTCCATTCCTAACCAGGCTCAATCCTCCTGGTCGCACATGCCTTCCTCTCCTCCCTCTCATTTTCTCCTACTTCTCTCTCCATTAGCTGTCCTCCCCCACTATACCTGAGGTCTGGGGGACTTGTCCCTTCCCAGTTCTGTGAGGGACTTTATATGAATCTCTTAGAATACAACTTGTATCCTAGTTCCTCTGGTGATGTGAATTATAGGCTGGTGATCATTTGATCTAGGTCTAAAATCCATATATGAGTGAGTACATACTGTGTTCCTCTTTTTGTGACTGGGTTACCTCATTCAGGATGGTTTCTTCAAGTGCCATCCACTTGCCTGCGAATTTCAAGATACCATTATTTTTTTCTGCAGAGTAGTATTCCATTGTGTAGATGTGCCACATCTTCATTAACCATTCTTCAATTGAAGGGCATCTAGGTTGCTTCCAGGTTCTTGCTATTACAAATAGTGCTGCTATGAACATAGTTGAACAGATGTCTTTGTTAAAATGCCCAAGTTCTAACATGGTCTGCCCTCTCCCACTTTATCCTTCCCACTGTAGCTGTCACCTGCACATCTTTGCTCAGTCCTCAGAATGGAACTATGACCTGTATCCAGCCTCCTGAAGGTTCCACTTACAAATCCACATGTCAGTTCATCTGTGATGAAGGATTTTATCTGTCTGGACCAGAAAGATTGGATTGTTCTCCATCTGGACATTGGACAGGCACACCACCCACATGTGAAGGTAGGCACGTGGGTCTGTCCTGTCTTGTGATTTCTCAAATATTATCATATAAGGAAAAATCATTAGATGTTTGGATGAAGGTGTTCCTGATCTAAACGCTAGGTGTGAGAATCTGGGTCAAAATTTTCTCTCTCCTTGGATAACAAATTTTAACAAATTGAGTAAAACATTTGTCTTAACAATGTTTTCACATCATCATAGCAATCATAGCACATAATGTCACCATTCTAGAATAATAAAGGAAGTCAATATCAATTCCACATTACTGATGAGAAAGAAACAAATTCAGAGGTAAGATAGTCCAAGGCCATTGCCATTCACAATAATATTCAACTATAAATTGAAACATTTATTTTCATATAAAGACTTTCTCTTTTTCTACTACACTCTTTAGCCATTTATTCCTTCACCAACCTTACTAAGTCTCAGACTAATAGCTTATTTGGGGATGGATGGCCTTTAATCTAACCTGACTTTCATTTTTCCCCTTATTTTCCTCCTATTTCTTTACGGGTTTTAAACTCATTGAAGCAGAAGTTGTACTTCCTGCATCGTGTGTGTGTGTGTGTGTGTGTGTGTGTGTGTGTGTGTGTGTTGGTAGTATGCATGTGGATGCAAAAAACATTGATGTTGGGAGTCTTCCATTATTTCTTTTGACCTTATCTTTTAGAACCATGATCTCTCACAGAACCCAGCACTCACCAATTGACTATTCTGACTAGCAAGCAAGCTCCAGTGATATATCTGTCTAAACACACTCAATGCTAAGATGACAGATGTGTGTGACCATGCCATGCTTTTACACAGAGCCCAGGGATCTGACCCAAGACCTTACACTTTCCTGGCAGATACTTTGCCCACCAGGACATCTCCTCAGCCCTCTCCCCCTTCATCTTTTATCACCTGCAATAGTAGATGGAATCCAAATGAGTGTGTAACAAGCATCTGTTGGATGGAAGCTGATCAGTTCCTGGTAACACTCACTCAAACACAGCCCTGCTGACTGTGTCAACTAGTGGAACTCTCAAAAACAGGGTGGATCTCACCTGTCTTTGACTTCCTGGAAGCACCCAGTGGGTACAATGTGTCACATATAACTATGGGCATATATTATCTTCTAAAAGACAAGTGTACCATGTCAGTTAATTTATAGTTCCTGTTTGGTTTCAGAAGGGTCATTATTCCAGTTTATTGTTCACCATAGTCAGGGTTAGCAATAATGAGACCCACACTTCACATACATTCTTCTTATTCAGTCTACATAAACCACCCCTAAAGAAATTATTGTCACTACCCTCTTAAAAATGAAGAAAATGGGGAATCAAAAGAAAGTAGCTGTCAACAGGCATGGGGAAAGAAGGGCAGAATGAGACAACAGGTGTTTTTACTACTATACGACACTGCCCCCTAATGGCCGGGTTTCTAAACCCTGGGTCCAGGCACAGGCTGCAGGTGTAACATCTGAGGCAAAGCCTTAGGAATGGTGGTGACTGGTGATCTGCAGAGACTATACCTCTAAAAACCCATTCGAGTGCAGTAAAACAGCTACAGCATTATTTGTTCTTCCCTATGCTGATACCCCAAGTCTGTACTGCTGTACTAAAGGGCATAAATGCTAACACTTCTTGTCAAAAAGATACCCTACTAACCTCAAGGAACCCAGCCATGTGAGGAGTAAGAGTTTATACCTTGAATACATTGTAATTTTCAGATTGTATTTTAAGGGCAAAGAATCAAATTCCATTTATAAATCTGATTAAACTTTTAAATCCTGTATGTAGCCAAAGCTGTGTGTGTGTCCAGCACCACTTCCCTTCACTCCATCCTTGTCCTCTTTTCTCTGCAGGAGGAAGCACGGGTTCCTACCTGTGAGCCCAGAGTCCCCCTGGGGACAGTGTATCTTAGTGTCTGTCCTTGCTTCATTATCTACATTTACATTGTATATTAGGGGAACTGCTTTTTTTTTTTTTAACCCACCAGCTTTTGGAAATTTAACTCTTAATTTTGCCTAGGAAACCTGGTTCTCATGCAATATTTTTTTTTCCAGAACCCTATAAGGGATCACAGGGTTCTGGGATCACTAGTAGGTGGAACCCGAGCTTCTCTCTTCACTGTGCTGTGAGGTTTCCATTTGAGGAGGCTCTACAAATATTTCTATTGTGGTAGGAACAGCAGTTTCCTGATTCCCCCACCCGAACTTGGGCTCGGTCTCTGTTCCCCTATCTCCTCTGGTTCTTATCCCTCCAGGCGTGGAATCTCCTCCATGAGCACAGCAATGACCTAGGCACTTCTATTTCCATGACACCATCTAAGAGCTGGATTGCTCAAGTCCCCACCTTTAGGCCACCTCCCTGACACAGACGATTGCTCTCATCATTATCGAGGAACTCACTGTTCCTCTGGAGACCATCTCAGCCACTGAATGCAGCACCTGATACCTTGCTTAATCTCCTAGGAGATGGAGACCTGCTTTTACATTCACCTCCAGTTCCATCATTCTGTTGTATATGCTTATCCAAGTCCAGCTTCTGAAATACAGTGAACATGTACCCTCTGAGGCCTTCATTTCTTTGACTCTTTTAATGCACTACCCACAAATAGCCTGTTACCAAAAACACTTGTGCCAATATGCCAACACACTTTTTTATGAGGTAACACATAAAACTTAAGGATCTTAGCAAAATGAACCTGACATCGCCTTCAGAATAACAATGGATCCAAAAAAAAGGGCACTGTTCTCAATCACTATTGGTAAATAATAGTCATGTGGCAAGTGTAATTTAGTGATGAAAAGGAAACAAATCTAAAAGACATCTGTATCTTCAATCACTTACTGAAAAATTGAAGGGGAAATTGTGGTGAGAAAATTAGAAGCTCATTTGTTCCGCTGTTTGGCCTGTGCTTGTTGAGTGACTCTCAGTCCCTGAGATACCTACAGTAGGAATCAGGTTAGACAAAGTAAACAGCTGGGGTTTTAGAAGCTTTACAGACAGCAGGTGAAAGGAACTGCAGTGTATGGTGTGACAACATATGAGTCCCAACAGTAAGTCTATGAGTTAAGGGAAAGCCATGAAAACTGAGATTGAGTACTTGGCTTCCTCCTTTCCCTGACCTTCCCCTATACCTCTTTATACAAACCCACCTGCCCCCTCCTTCCTGAAATAATCCTGTTTTATACATCTTGCGGTGCCTGCTGCTCAGCAAAATGCCCAAGATGCACTAGGTAGTCAATAGCTATTTGTCAACTATTGAATGGCTAAACTATGTGAAACACAGAAGGTCTTAATAAGCATGATATTGGGACTTTCTCATTTGATACTCCAGCCATCAAGTGCCCAGGAATCTTTGCCCCAGATCAAGGCAGCCTGGATTGTTCTCATGACAATGGAGAATTCATTGTTGGCTCTACCTGCCACTTCTCCTGTAATAAGGACTTTGAGCTAGTGGGATCAAACACTGTGGAATGCATGGCTTCTGGAAGATGGTCAGCACCTCCACCAACCTGCAAAGGTAATGACATACTCATTGGGAAGTTGTACTTGGGGTTGTATTTTCACACTAAGAATACATGACTCATTTATGTGGCAAGTACATATTACACTGTTAGAAGTAAACACAGTTGTATGTTTTTAAACTTTCTTGAAAGTAACAGGATTTTTCTGTTCTGGAATTAAAGATACACTGATGGAGAGTTATGTGTTCTCACCTTTTAAGCCTATTTGTTTCAAAGATCTTCATTGAGCAAATTGAGTGGTACATTGTATTTGTTGAGAAGGTTATGGGCTCTGGTGTTTGGAACAAGGAATTGAGATGCAGAGGGACCAAGTATCTATCACATGGCAAGTTTACGACTAAGTCAGTGGCATTGTTTTCATTTCATCTTGCATGTTGACCTTGGGCCAGGGAATAGCATATTACCCAACAATCCAGGGAGCACAGGCAGTTATTTGCATTTAATGTGCCTTCTATTGAGATACCAGCTCTCTGTAGCAGCTCCACAGCTGCCTCCCTTTTAAAACCATTAGTGATATCAACTCTGCTTCTTATGACCAGAATTAAAATACTGTTTCCTCTAAATCATTTAGTTACTTGTGTGTGGTATGTGCACACATGTGTATGCAGGTATGAGAGCCCATGTGTATGCATGCAGAAGCCAGAGGCCAGCAGTTGTCTTCCTCTGTTAGTTACTTTCACCTTATTTCCTGAGACATGATCTCTCACTGAACCTAAAGCTCACCTTTTTTGCCTAGGCTACTGGCTATCAAGTTCCCAGGATCTACTTGTCTCTGCCTGCCACTGACCTTTTTTATTTTGAGACGGGGGCTTCTCTGTGTAGCTTTGGAACATGTCCTGGAAGTTGCTCTGTAGACAAGGCTTGCCTATGCCTCTGCCTCTTGAGTGTTAGGATTAAATGCATGCACCATCACTGCCCAGCATCAGCACTGACTTTTATATGGATGTTGTGGATTGAACTGAGGTCCCCTTGCTTTCAAAACATCCACGAAGCCATCTCTCCAGCGCTTAAATAATTTCCCCATCTCATTTCCCATACCTAAGATTAATAGGTCTTCATCACTTCCATATATGCATTACTAGATGAAGGCAGTTATCCCATGACAGTTTTAATTCAGATATGATCCCTTATCCTGTGAACATACAAAAATATTTTTAAATAAAATATTTTTCTCATGACAGGTGTAACATCACTTCCTAGCCCAGAGGTGCACTGTCCTGCTCTCAATACTCCTGGACAGGGCAAAATGTCCTGCAGACACCATCTGGGAAGCTTTGGTCCGAACACCACTTGTTACTTTGGGTGCAAAACTGGATTTACACTCAGAGGAGCCAACTTGCTCAGATGCAGGACTTCAGGACAATGGACAGCAGTGACTCCAGCTTGTAGAGGTAACTAACTGGGCAGGAGCAGGGAATTCTGAAGCCATTTTCCCTGCCATACATTATATGTATCTGCCTGTTTAAATTCCACCCAGCCCTAACAACCACCACAAGCACCCATGCCTCCATGAAATCCACAGCAGCTCCGAGCAGACGTGTGCATCAGACACTTCATCTTTGCCCTCCCCCAAACCACTTTATACGTAGGCATATGTATAAAAGTACACATGTTTACATGTGTCAGAGCTAAAAGAATGCAAATGTAAAACCAGATCAATGAATTGTAAAGTATGAATTGCAATGTTATTAATTAGGTGACAGTATAAATCTGCAGTATTTTCATAATGATTGGAATCTAAGATGTTAGTCCTACCACACTGTTCACAAAGCATGGAGTCCCCAGGCTGCTTCATCCTGCTATCTCCCACAAAGCACAGCATTGAGCTTTAGAAATGTCAGGACTGCTGTATTACACTTATTTGAATTAAATCTGATTTCCTGGGGTTCATTTCCTGTCCACAACTTACAGAAAATAATCTGGTTTCCTAAAAAAAAAAATAGTTTAAGGAGGGTTATTGTCCCCTTCTCCAAACTTCTAGTGTTCAGCTGCGAGGACCACAAAGTAAGTATTTTGATAATCACGCGCTGACATGGCAGGTTAATCACAATGTATTAATAATAACACATAGATACAAATTCAATAGTGTTTTTGGGGAGACTTTTTGGAGATTAGATCAGTACTCTCTGAGTCATCCTTGTTCTCTGGCTAGAATTATTTCATAGCTACTTTGGTGAGACAGTATTTGAGGAGCTGCTGTGGCTTTTGGCTCTGGCTGACCTCCTTTACAACATTTTACATTGACTCCATTTACTGTGATTTCCAGACAAGTACCTTCCTTCTGTGTATTTGCTGCTTCTCATTCATTCTTTTTTTTTTTTTCCCTTGCAGCTATAAAATGCTCAGAACTGCACATAGACACACCAGTATTGATGAACTGCTCCAACCCCTGGGGAAATTTTAGCTATGGATCAACCTGCACCTTCAACTGTCCAGAGGGGCGGTTACTGAATGGCTCTGCAAGGGCAACATGCCGGGAGAATGGCCAATGGTCAGCTGCCATGCCAACATGCCAAGGTACATTTTTTTTTCATATGGTTTGGAACATGACCTCGACATAGAAGACCAAGTCCCTGCTTCTTTTCTGCATGTTTCTCGTGGCTTTTCTTTGCTTCACTGGTCCCTTTGTGTGATAAATGTTTCACATGAACCATAAAGGATCCCCTTGCTTTATACAAGCCCTAGGAATGAAGCTGGTGGCCATGTGGAGCCCTGCCATTCCTTTCATTGTTTATATGTGTGAAACTAATTTCCCTACTTCTTACAGCCTCTACTCAACACATCTTGGGAATTCAAATACATTAACCAAGGGTTTTCACACAGAGTCCTAATTTGTTGTGTCAGAAGACCTTTGTTTAACATCTACCTCTGAAAATACCTCAAGTCTTTTAATTATGCCCTATCTGTTTGCAAACTCAATCTCAGTCCCTACTTCTCCCTTACTTTCCCATAGCAGTTATGACTAGTTTCTGTTACATAACCAAATCATTGACTGACAAAGAGAAATTACCCCATCATTTACTTCATTCACCCAAATATGCACTGATGAATTTGTATCTACTAATGAGTTCCTTTCAGGGGATCTTTATCTTGTCCACTTTAGAAATCATGACTTTTTTAATCCAAGTATTTAAAACCTCTGCTTCCTTTTCTGTACAGTGGACTTCTGACTTCCAAATCTTTCCTGCCAGGTTATCTTGCTTACAGCCCTATCTTAGTTCTTGGGGTGCCTCCCAGAGGATGACTGGCCTGTGCACACCACACTCACACTTTGCATGCATGTTTATTTTAGCAGGACCACTGACCATCCAGGAAGCACTGACTTACTTTGGCGGGGTAGTGGCTTCTACAACAGGCCTGGCAGTGGGCGGGACACTCCTGGCTCTGCTCAGAAAGCGTCTCAGGAAAAAAGGTAAATACCAAGGAATCTTCCTCTTTTCTGTTCATGATTTTGGAGTGAAGTGATAAAGTCAGGAGTTTCTATTTAGGAACAATTTGCTAAAGAAAATATTTGTGACCTTGGAGCCCTGACTGCCTGTCCAAATTACCTGCAGGAATTTATGAAAATACAGAAATTCTGAATTTTTCTTTTTTTCCTTGTGTGTGTTTGTGTGTACATGCGTGCAGATGGGCCTTCTGCCTACTAAACCAGTGTTCTACCACTGAGATGTGTCACCACCCATTATATGAATTTTTCTAAAGGCTTCCCTTAAAATTCTGATGAAGCATCTGAGGGCCTCTGGGACCACCAAAATTAATTATAAGCATGCCATGAATCTTTCCCTTGCCTCACCCCATGTAATAGCCATTTGCAAATCAGTTTTTCCAGACAGTGTTGCAAATAGCGATGATACCTGAGGCTGAGGAACATATAGTCTTGTAAGAGGGACAGGTAAGTTAAGCAGTACACATAATGTGGTGTGTCTGTAAGAACAAAAATATGGTGTAGATGTTACTAGAACATAGAACAATATTCTTGGATCAGATTGGTACACTGCAAAGGCTTTCTCAACCTTAGCTTGGGTTACGGGATGTGGCAAAGTTGGGGAGATGAACTAGAGTTCTAGCAAAGAAAACTGCACATGGAAACCACGAACTTGTTAGAGAGCTGGGAGAAGTGATGTGTTTGGCAGCCGAGAGCATCTGAACCCAGCAGACTCACAGACCAGTGGGGAGGAGAAGCTGGAGGTTAAGAAGCCGCTGCTTCAGCAGCGTCCTGAAAACACATGCTCAAAAATTCTCCCCTGCAAACTTGTGGGTTTTGGAGAAGGTTAAAGCAGGAGAGTGACCAAATGATGAAGTCTCTATCAGGGACACCTCATCAGCCTGTTTTCAGAGAGAGATCTTAGACCCAGAGACAAAAGAAACACCCAGTTCTTAGACTTCCAAACATCTTTTCTCCATCTGCTGTGACTTGTAGCCTGCCCAACTGTTGATTGGCTACAAACATTTCTCTATAAACTATCACGACTCTGACTGCCCTTTCTCACAGAAAGGAGGATCAACTGGTGCTCAAATCCAGACAACTGGAAGAAGCTGTGTTAAACTATTCCAGACCTCACATTCCATTTGGGAGTTCCAATAACTAATCAGAATTGCTCATGGGATGGAATGTCCTGTGCCCTCCTTTTATCATTCCCTACACAAAGCCACCATTGCACTGTATATGTTTCCCCCAACACTCTTGCACACAATCTCCTGTGAACTGGAAGTCTAATGATAGCAAAGGGTAGCTTCTTGCTGATGGGAGAGATGTGCCAATAGTCCATGAAAATGTGTGCTCACTTAACCAAATCAAGATGGAAGCAAGAGTTCTGAAAACCTAGCTTTCATTTCCATAATCATGTCAGAATCACATAATCTTCTCCTGCCCCTCCCCTGGTCAACTGACCCTCTAAACCCTTGCCAAGTTGTTTCTTCAGTTTTCAGATAAATTTGAGACTTTCCGGTCACCTCAAATTTTTCTAAATCTCTAACAATAAATAAATGTATGAGTTGGGGAGGATGGCATTTCCTGGGCTCGTGCCAATTTGGGTTCCAACATCGAAATAGTCTATTGTGAAGTAACAGGTGGTGCTGTAGCCATGTGTCAAGACTTAGCTATCAGTCTGTTGTTAGAATTAAGACAGGAGGCTCCTGATCACATACATCACTGGGAGGGAAAATGAAGCATCCACTGTAGTGTTGCTATGGGCTGATTTATAAGATTACCATGCTAGCTGAGCACCAAGGGACTAAAAACCTGGATGCAGCAATAGAGAGCCCTCAAGTACCAGGACTCAGGGGCATTAGAACAGGGTAGTTGGTTTTTTCCCTATAAAGTTAAAAAGAAAAAAGGTAAGAGGGATTTGGAATAAAATATTATAAACTGCTCAATTTAGCCTAAGAAAAGTGCTGCCCACATTTCAGGCCAGAACGTGCATATAAGAAATTATCTGAAAAACGGTCTCTGAAATTTCCTCGTTTCTAACACTAGTAATTCTTTTCACCCCATTGTTCTTTTATTCATGTTTCCTCATTTCTTTCAGATGATGGAAAATGCCCCCTGAACCCACACAGGTAAGATGGGAGTGTTCTGTGCATAAACAAATGGTGTCTGTTTGTCTTTCTAACATGCTACATAGGGAGAACATGATGTCTCCTCCTCTCTGTGATGTGTCTTCTGTCATGCCCTTCCTGTCCTGAGAAAAAGCACGTGTCAGCTAAACATAGCATTTTAAGTATCAATACTTATGGATTTCCAGCTCTGGAGTCTTCCCTCCCCCTGCTTTGCAGAGAGTCTTTCTCTGCTATGTGTACACATTTCTTTACTTTACATTCCCTTACCTCATTGGTTAAAAACAATAGACATCCTCATTATAGTATAAAAAATAAATAAAGTGGGAAGTGATTTATAATGGAAACCAAATGTTAAAGCTTGGGTGTTACATTAATAAACACTTGAAGGCCATTGAAAGTTTGTAAATTTAAGTAGAATCTCAATGAATAATGGCTCAGGAAGGGACAGTGGGCTATTTTCTGGGAAAATACTGTATTAGTTCAATTCACAGGGCAACGACTTTCATCTTAAAAGAAGAAAAACACACTTCATGTGAAGCGTTTCAGATACAGGCAGTCTTTAATCTTGAACAGTGAGATTCCAAAGCCACATGGGATCTGGGACAATTCTGTTGTATCCTGTGTTTTTGGACATGTAGTATCCCTGACCTCTGCCCACTACAGGGCCATCCTTTTCATCACCAGGAAAATCCAAAAACCACCCATAGGGGGCAGTACTATCATTCTGTGGAAACCCTTGCTCAACTATCCATTAACAAGACTGAGAACTTTTTAACTATTTCTCATCAAGAAAAGGGTGCAATCCCTTGTGGGATAAATCCAGTTTTCTACACAGAAACCAGTAGCAACAATCCTGTGAGTAGGGCTGTGGATGTGGCCTGGTGGTAGAGCATCAGTTTAGCATGCATGAGGCTCTGGGCTCTATTCCCAGTACCGTGGAAAAGTGTGAGTGTGAAGTACAAGTCAGATTACCTAGAGCTCTGAGTGGGACCTTCAAAGTTGCTCTTCCACTTACTTTCCTTATGAAAATAGAATTCCAGGGTAGATAAAAATCCGTTGTTTCTAGAGATATTATGAGCTGGCTACTTGGAGGAGTAATTTCATGATAGATCATTCTTGTGTCTCTATTCTTCAGCCACCTAGGAACATACGGAGTCTTCACTAATGCTGCGTTTGACCCAACCCCTTGAGGTGAGTTACTTATGAGGATATTTTTGAAGAAGATAAAACAGTGAGGGAAAGGGCAAGAATATAAAGCTTTAATTTTCTTTATATCATCATTTATTAACTTTCAAGCATGTATTAAAATGTCAAGCCATGACAGAAACCATATTGGCAACAAGTATATTTGACAGTGAGGGGGGAGGGGACAATAGAGTGTACCCAAGGATTTCCAGGTGAAAGGATGAAAGGTTGTAGCAGCATATAACTTGCTCCAGGATGCATGAGATCCCGTTATTGGCAGCCGAGTGGTATTGACAGTATTGGCTTGCCTCAAAATCCCCTGTGCTACCTGAAATAATCTGAAACCATTTCTTTTTTTTTCCAAATAGTACAATGAAAAGTCCCCTTGTAGAATCTGGAAAGAGGCAACTATCTTGACCATCGGGGGACAGACATTCTGAAAGATTTCTTCCTCTTTCAATTTCAGAGGTCTGGTCTCCTGCCTCCTCCTTCAGTCTCTCAGGACTCTGCATGCAGATGCCAAGCTTCCTGACTTTAACTCCACTGTAAATAATGGGAATCGAGCAAAAGGACTGTGTACATTCCCACCTCTCCACCCATCCTTTCCTGCTCTGCCTCTCACCTTCCTCTAGCACAGCCACAAAACAGGAGCAAATGTTTCTGCTGTGGTCTGTGGCTTTGACCTTGCTTTGACTGAAAATGGGAGTTAGTCCAAAGCCCTGGAGCATCTGACTCACCAGGAGACCAGACTCTGGAGAGCTGAAGATCTACTTTCTCTTGGGACTGAAGAGTGATACTCCAAGATGCAAGAGAAACCTCTAGCTTAAGGGAGAGGCTGCTATAAGATCTCCTGGGCCTTCCGAGTTTCCTTCTATGAGGTTGTTTATACCTCTGCTGCTGACATTTTCACTGAAACCTCCAGATGGTACCAGAGGCCACAGAAGATCAAAAACAGAGCCAGGATGCCACAACCTTCCCTCCACTAATGCACCCAAAGGCCATTATTTGAATATGTAATTAGACTCCCCCAAATGCCATGATCCTCATGTTTTGTTCACTAAGGTCTATGTGTCCTATGTTGTTTACCACCAATGTGGCCACAGTTATAGTCATCCAAATGACAGCTAGACCTTCCAATGAGTCAGCAAATATATGTCATATGTCCCCTGTCCACAGAGAAAAAAAAATCAAAGGGACAAAAAAAAAAAAGGTCTTCATTGCATTACTGTTCTGCAGGAAAGAACAGATATGTTTTATATGTAATTTAATTAATTCACGTGTTTAATAAATAAGTCCCTGGAAATTATACATGACTTGTCTCTAATTGATGCAAACATCAGGGAGTCAAACAATTTGGCTGCCTTGCTGTGGTGTAATGAAATTCAATGACCACCATGTAGACTGCATACACATAAGCAGATAGGCAAGCAAAAATAGTAAGGGCATCCTGTGAAAAGTTACAGTGATTTTGAAGGATAAAAAAAAAGAAAGTAGTTTAGGGACTGGCTGCTTTAAATTTTTTTTCTTCAAATACATTGTCAATAGTATCTAGTATGTGTGTATGTGTGTAAGAAAGAGAGAGAGACAGACAGACAGACACTAGGCTAGGTCAACCCTGTCTCCCATATCAGAATTTGCATTTTGTTAAAAATACCCAGAAGATTCTGACAATATTGAGACTCCTGAAACTGTGGGTTAGGAGTGAAAGGTATTGTTCCTGCTTTTGAATAGATTCTAATCTAGCTGTGGGCACAAGAGGACCCTGAAAAACTAATGCAGGGTAATCAAAAGGATCGTATAGTCTAAATAGATTAAATTCATAAAACAGAGATGTCAGCTTGAACCCAGAATCAGAGATGAAGGCAGAAGTCATGACTTTAAATTTTACTATAGTTAGATATGCACATGTCTGTTAATTAATCTTTGGTACAGAGTCTCACTGTGTAGCTTAGGCTGATCTCCAGCCACAGACTAACATTTTCCTGCTTCAGCCACTTGTGTGTTGGAATTACTGGCATGGGCTATCACACCTTCCTTGAGAAGAGACATTCTAAATTGACTGAATGAGCAAGGGAATAAAACACAAGGGGGGGGGGGGCAGGGAGGCTGTCTAGGAGCCTGGGTGGTGCCAGATTAAAATTTACTGAATGTGCTGGAAGCATAAAACATGGACAGAAACAGAGTTCTAGGGAACTCAGGACAAGTCATAATAATTCAGATATTATGTTTCTCCATCAACAGAAAAAATAAAATCTAAAACTTTATGCAAAGCATCCTTCAAAAAATGGCGCCTTGGAGGGGGAGCACATGAGCATAGATGAGATAATAGGCTGCAGCCGCCTTGACACGGGACCACACAGTTTACAACATCCCCTCCCCCACAACAATTGCATCAAAGAAAACTGGAATTGCCATCCTTATTTTGCAGAGGTCAAAAGTACTCCGGAGATAGAAGGTAATTAGCCCAAGACCACTCAACCACGGAATATCTCAAGTGAGGTCTCTTAAGTCCTGTTCTCTACTACACTTGAGCTGGTAACAAGCCCTTACCAGGTGGTGTGTGGCTTGCTAGAAGTTACTGAAGCAATCTAGAACGCTAACCTGTTGGTGGACTTGTCATCTGGCCGTTTTCTGTGCCTAGTAACCACAGTGTCATTTTCCTGGGGTCAGGGGATGGGTGTTTGGTCTTAGTGAGGCTTGCAGAAATCAGCAGTCGAGCCTAAACTTTGACCTGTCCTTCCCGCCCCACCCCCACCCAGGCAAGACGAGTGGGATTGATTGCTGCTCTCACCTGTGGGCGGGGGGGGGGGGGGGGGAATGCTGCTTTGTGATGGGGCAAAGATTCTTGGGCACAGTTCCTGTGCCACAACCTCCAGCAGGATTGCCCTTTCTTTCCTTGTAATACACAGTCCCTAGTCTGGTTCCCTAATAAATGCCTCTGGCCACATGGGGGAGTGACCTCAACAAGCCCAAGCCTACATGAGGCACAGACTGGGAAGGGAGGTAGGGTGAGCCAGCCGCCACAGGAGACAGGGACACCGCTTCCTGCAGCCTCCTAGTCCTCCAGGGAGCCCCGACAACGACAGCACGCAGCGGGAACCGGGAATTGAGTGAGCACGCGGCAGTGGCAGTGCGCCCCAGGACAAGGGCCATGCTCCTAGTCTGCCAGCGCCTCTGTGTCCTGGTGGTCCTGGGCACCAGCTGGGCGGGCTGGGGCAGCCACCCGGCCGAGGCAGCGCGGGTAAGGCAGTTCTATGTAGCTGCTCAGGACATCCTCTGGAGCTACCACCCTGAGTCCACAGACCCAAGGTAACTCGGGGTGGAATCCAGGTGGGCTTCTCCAAGAAGAAGCTCCACTGTAATTGCAAGGTTTATTTTGTTTGTTTTGTTTTTTATTTCGGGGCGGTGGGGAGGGGAGACAGAAAGGGAGAGAGACAGAGAAGGACAGGAAGAGAGACAGGGAGAGAGAAAGAGACAGAATAGAGGCACAAAGAGAAAAGTTAAAAGTGTAATAATGGGTGCTAATTTTGCCTCCTCTGATATAAATTATCGTGTCAAGGATGTAGAAATTTTCCAGTGGGAACAGTTAGCTATGGCTAACCATCTTTTTCACTGCCCCTACCCCCACACTGTTTGCTCCCACTTTGTTAGTTTAGTGTACTGATGGATTGAAATGACAGCCTCTGGTGCCCTCTTACACCTTCCCGAAAGTCTGGTTCCAGCCCTTTTAACGGTCTACTTAAAAAAGGAAAAAAAAAAAAAAAAAGATAGAACTTCTAGTCACTAACATTTATTTCTTGTAGACATTGGCTCTAAAGAGAAAACTGTCCACCGTGTACTTCATTATGAGGAGATAATTTAATGACTCTTGCCTTAATTTGTTGCCTATAAATGACGTTCAAAACGTTGGTTCATGGGAAGAGGACACACTTGTATTTTCACCCTTTCTTGACTTATTCCTGGCTACCTAAGTGGCTTCATTTTTTTTTTCCTTTCACTTTGGATGACTTCCTGGAATATGGCTTATCCTGGATATTCTTGTCTGTCCTGAATATTACCCATGTTAGTGACCAGGTTAGAAGGTCATTCAAAGATGTGTGTTAACAACGAGGTGGTTTAGATAATACCAACCCTACCTTTGAGTTGCAAAATATATTTTGCTAACTGGAAAGTTCAATGAAAGCCTTCCTGAAGTTAACCAACTCATAGATTTACTCAGCATTCATAGCTACTATTTCTATTTGAAATGGCAAGCCTAGCCTTCTAGTTGACTCATTTTTTTTCCTTTTAGTTGACATCAAAGTTTAAGCGATTGTGAAAGATGTGTTCCTCTTTTACAATTGCAAAACCAAAGCAATCACTCAAAAAATAATGTAATATTTTGAAAGCAATGTGTAACATTTTAGTATAAATGCATAATAAGCTTTTAATTTTTGTTGTTGTAACTGGGACTATTTGGGATGGCATTACAATCTATCTTGGTATTATGCTAATAAATATCACATTAAAAGGATTTCAAGTATTACATTTTTAGAGTGATAATCTAAGCTGTACCTATACTCTTAGGAAACTGCCATTGATGGAACCCCTCCCCACAAAAAAATAACATTATTTCCAGTGCCAATTTTCCTGCTCTGGGTTGAACAGACTTGGTGGTTGGTGTGTTCAGGCTGGGATAGGGCACAGGTAGGTGTAAGTCAAGAGACACAGGGTTAGGGATGAAAACATTCAGATCAAATGTACAACATGAGAACTCTATCTAACAACAGTGTATTACATGGGCAGGTCTTCCCCTGGCAAAGGGAAATGGATAATAAAAGAAAAATGGATAAGCTGCTTCAATGAAACACATTGACCAAAAGGCAAGTTAGAGAGGAAAAGGTTTCTTTGGCTTACACTTCAGCATTGCTGTTCATCCATGAAGGAAACCTGGACAGGAATACAAACAGGGCAGGATCCCAGAGGCCAGAGCTGACGCAGAGGCCTCTGCCTGCTTTCTTATAGAATCCAGGACCATCAGCCCAGGGATGGCACCACCCACTGTGGGCTCCCCACTCTCCTCCAGTTGATCACTAATTAAGAAAATGCCTTACAGCTGGATCTCATTTGCTCAAAAGAGGCTCCTTCCTCTCTGATGACTCTAGCTTGTGTCAAGTTGACACATGCAACCTGCCAGCTCACTGCTGAAAGGGAAAACTACTACAGGAAGCTCTTCCTTCAGGGTCTCCATACTCCTGTGCAATATGGTTCTGTAGTTATCAAGATGTATAACCTCATTTATTCTAGAAATAGATAATGGAACAGAAGCCTGCTGGGTCTGGATAAAGCTGAGGAAAAGGTTTAACCCTGGATTCCTGGCTGTGCTGTTTACCATCTCCATCTTCATAAGAACCAACTTAATCAGTTCAGTGAAGGTTTTTGACTTGTTCCCCAATACAGATCTCAGAGTTCTGCCTGTTGTCTCAGTTCTCTCAACTAGAAACAGGTTCCAATAAATGAACACCAATTTACCATTTCCCATTGGTTCAAAATTTTATAATGAAAGTAGAAAAAAATTACATCTGATCAATAGATTGAAAAATGGTTCGAATATATACTTAGTAGTGACTCATATTTTTAACTTAGACCTGAAGTTTGAGTTTGCAGTATGAGCTTACCGTCCTTAACAGAAAAATTGATTCTGAAAAGCAGAAACAGAACAAAATCAGGCTCATGGAAGACTATCATTGATGATGATTATTTCATTTATTTCACTTGATATTCCAATCTATAAAACCTTGGGCCTTGGAAATACAATAAAATACAGTCATTCTACTTTTATATGCAAAATCTGAGCATATAGACACCTCCTTTTATGGGATGGGAATAGATATCACATATGATTTTCAAATTAGATTTCATATTTTATTTCTAGTTTGAATTCTAAACCTTCCTTCAAGAAAATTGTCTATAGAGAGTATGAGCCATATTTTAAGAAAGAAAAGCCACGATCTAGCATCTCAGGTAAGTCTGAAATATATTTTAAATAATTTTTTATTGGGGTTTGAATGTGCAGTCTAATGCATGCTATGAAAACTCTACCACTGATCTAAATCTCAGTCTACATGTAAATTTTTATTCTGAGACAAGGTCTCACTAAGTTGGCTACCCAAGCTTTGAGCTTTGAATTTGGTCTATGACCTAGGAAGAGTGTGAATTTCAATTTGTTTTGGGGGGGATGGGTCTCAGCTTCTCAAGTAGCTGGGATTATAGGTGTGGCCACCAAACCAACCCAGTTTTATTTCTTTTAATTTTAAATATAATTTTTCATGGACAGTAATATATTCTTTATACTTGAAATATCCACTCTGAACTAGCTAGATAGCTCAGTGGCTAAAGGTACTCAGTGCCAAGCCCAAAGACCCAAGTTCCTTCCCCATGACTCACGTAGTAGAAGGAGAGAACTGAGTCTCTTAATTTGACCTCCAATCTCCACACATGCAACATTGTGTGAGCTCTCACATGCACATGTGCACTCAGGCACACACATACCAAAATAAAAAAGTATAAAAATATATAGTTAGTTATCTTCTGTTAATATGTATGATGGTCCTATCAAATTCTAGCTATATAATATGTCTGCCAGATTCGGTGAGAATATGGGGCTTCTTGTTCATAATATTGAGCGTTTCAGAGACAGTAAAATTTAAACCAAACAGGGATTTTTCTGACCAGGGGACCCTGTGGAAATGGGTTGCCCACAGAGCAAACCATGTTTTTAACCTTGGTCAAGAAAGCCAAACAAAAAGTTTCAGTGTTTGAATTTGTATTTATTCATCTAACAACCTGCAGCTGGGCACCTTCTGTGGGCTAGACATTAAATTAGGCACTATGAATACAAAAGTTAGACAACATGAACTCTACTTTCCTGGGGCTTGTGATATGTTTGTATAGGCACAGATGCACTCCAGCAGGATGAACTCATCATTGTTTCTGTCCAGCTTCCTAGACTCATTCAAAGGAGCTATGTATGTTTGATCCTTTGCCTTTAGCTTTCAGATAGTTATGGCATTTGAAGAAAACCTTTCTTCTATTTTTTCTTCAGTGCTTCATTAATCAAAGACTGATTTATCAAGGGCTCTGGGATCTTAACTACAGAAACATATTTCACAAGAATTGCAGAGGCTTATTCAGGGAGGACGTCTTCCAGTTGGGCCCTTTGTCATCAGTTCACCCATCCTTCCTGATGATGGTCAGCCATCTTTCCCAGGCTCACCTTCTGCCTCTTCTGCCCATCTATCCCTATCCCCACTCCCCTGCTCTTCCCTGCCTCATCTGGTCTTTATTATTCAATGCTTTCTCAGACTTGAGTATTTCTTCCAGCAAAAAAAAACAAACAACAAAGTCATTTTCTGGTAAATCTTATCTAGGAAAGGAGATATATCTCTCCTTGACCCTCCCTGCCCTTTTCTTGTGTCTTCATTCCTTCCTCCTGATTCCCGAGTGAGAAGTTGATGTCACTGTCCACATTCTCTCTTCTTCACCCCTTCCCTAACCTGCTCCAGTCTGATTAACTCTGTCTCTGTCGATTGCTGCCTCTGAGATGGCAGCACATCACCATTTCGAGGCTGTCTGACACTCCCTTTTGGACCTCTTTGCCTTGTTTCTCCAGGGACACTTTCCCTGGTTTTCCTCTGAGCTCCTTTACCATCCCTTCTCAATTTCTCCCGTCTCTTCTTCTCTGAGGGTCCAAACTCAGCCACACATGGCTTTTACAGACATCCACCCAAAAGCCACATTCTTTAGGGCACTGCACAGATTTCTACCCTATCCTAGCATTAGGACCTTTTCTTTCTTCTGTCTACTCCTATGAACTTACAGTCACCTTTTAGAGATGCTGTGAGGACCAGACTGGCTAATGAATACAAAGTACTTAAATCATGCTCACACATGATAAGCACTTAATACAAGTTAGCTACATTGTTGTTATTGCTGCCATTGTAGCTATGAACCATGCCTCCATTACAGTGTGTACATCATAATATTGTGGATATAGCAACTTGTGCTTTTGCTTGTTTTATAGTCCTTGTACGTTATAATTTATATATTGATTTGTCTTTAGATAAATAAATTGAGTATTCTTTCTTTTTAATGATCACAACTTAAGAATACCCCAGTTGAGAGTCTGGGGATGTAAAGGTGGATTCTGACTCCCAACAGTCAACCATTAGAGATGTCCAATAGCAGAATGTCATAGCACAGTGACAAGGAAGAATGATGCTGAAGGTTCTGCAGTGAGAAAGCAAGGGGAATTGGGGAGCCAAGTCATGAGTGTTGGTGGGAGTATAAAGGTGCATTTTAGAACACACACACACTCACTCACTCACAAACAGAGCACATGAGGGTTTAGATCAATGGTTCTCAACCTGTGGCTTATGACCTTTTAAGGGTTGAACCACCCCCTCTCAGGGTCGCCTACAACCATTGGAAAACACGGATATTTACAATTCAAAACAGTAGCAAAACTACATTTATAAAGTAGGAATGAAAATAGTTTTATGGTTGGAGTCACCACAACATGAGGAACTGTATTAAAGGATCACAGCATTAGGAAGGGTGAGAATCCCTAGACTGGATAGACTCATCCAGATCAGGGACCTGTGTGAAAGCTTAGTCTTGAGGGACGTAGAGAGTCACTAAGATTATTTAAGTGGGAGAAAGACAGACCCAGATTTGCACTTTAGTACTGGTTTCAATATTGGTCTACGGCTATGAACAAAGTAAAGTGCCACACACAGGTATAAAAATCCCACAACAAACACCATTGTTCCCTATGCTAACTAAAAATTAATTAGAAAAAAAAGATTGTTCTGTCTAAATCTGGAAGATGGATTAGAGAATAGCCAGAGAAAGTAGTAATGTGGCTTTAGTGCCAATCCAGGAAAAAGGCTGTGGGGAAGCTAAGATGGGGTAAATTAAACAGATTCCAAAGATACTTAAGAGCTAAAATCAACTAAACAGGTGGCTAATTGGATGGAAACAAAAAAGGGGGATTATAATTGACTTCAAGGTTTCTGGGTGGAACAGTAGAATGGATAGTGTGCTATTCAGTAAGAGAGAAAATTTAAGAAAAGAGGGATCCTTGTTTGCAAAGATAATGAGGTCAGACTCAGAGTCTGAGGCGTCTGTAGAATATCTACCTAGTGTCAAAAAAGCAGGTGCGTGTGAGTTTTGCTTTTAGGTGGGAGAACCGAGATAGACAGATACAAATATTCAGGAGATATCATCAGCAGGTTATAAATGAAGCTCCAAGGGAGCACATGATCACCCAAGGAACCCAAGGAGGCTGCAACAGAGCTCAAGAAGCAATGGTCACTGAAAAGCTTAAAGTCTTCCTAGAGAGGGCAGAGGAAAGCAGAGAGTATGGTTCCCTAGAAGTAGAGTCAAATGACACCAAGGTCAACCAGTACTGGCAGAGGGAACAACAAAACCCAGTTTCTGCTATAGTGGTAGGGTGAGAATTTATGGCGGGGGCTGGAGGGGGTGTTGATGTTGGGGAGTAGATGGCAAGTGAAGAAATGAAAACATAAGGAAAGTATGATCCTTCCTGAGATGTGGCTCTGTTGGGAAGGAGGCAGGGGCATTCTGGAGATGAATGAGAGGTTGAAGAGTATTTGGGAGCAGCACAAGAATCTAATATTTATTAAATCGGTAGAAAAGTTATCTGGGGATCTAGACACGGAAGAAGCAGGAAGGGCTGGTATTAGAAGCTGCAGCTGGTTTCATCCTTAGATAAAAAAGGCTACTGTCTCACCATGAGTCCTGGGGTGGGGCAAAGGTCATCTATAAAATCACTTTTGTGATGTGGGCAGGAAACTGGAGGATCACCTGTCCTCTCCTGCAGAGTCTATTTTCATATTCCAGGGCAGAGTTTACTGTGTTCAATAGATTCATAAGAACTATTTAACTTGTGAGTAAATGGGAACATAATCACAAGGCCAAGAAGAGAAGGCAAGTGTTCAAGGATGAATGCTATGAGGCTTTTGCAAGGCTCACCAAATATTGATGTCATTGCTAAGCAATGCATTGTGCTAAATAATGCACAGTAACAGAAAGGACCATGGCCAAGCTGGAGACTTCTGAACTGATAGAGCGAGGCACCAACAGTTTTTCACAAGGGAGACCACTGTGACAGGCATCCTTCCAGATGAAGGCCTTTTGTAGTGACCTCCTGGTAGAGCCTTGTTAGTCAGAAGTAGACTTTGAGAGTCGGTGAGAACAGCCTGGATCATGTTTAAGCCCTTTCACATTAAATATTAGCTTTCTCTCAATATCTGTTTATCACAGAATATATTTAATGTGGGGCAACTGGGAGACTGTAGCATCCATTTTTTGCAGCCCTTTCTTAAACTACCAGTTCTGCTTAACTCTGAACCACTGAATGAAAGAAGTACTATTGCGTTCATCATTAGGTCCCAAGGATGGAGAACTGGCAAGAAAGAAAAGCCTCCGATCCAGCTCAGATTGGGACTTGAAGGCTAGTTAGTGCTGCCCTGATCTAGTTCTGTGTTGTTTGTACCTTTGCTGTGTTTTCTTTTCCAAACACTTGGCGGGTGTGGTTTCAGCTGAGCCATGAACAAGTCATCGTTCTTCACCTTTACAGCAGCAGGAGCACAGACTAGTTAATTAAATTAAAAGCCCAGGCTAGTCATTTGGCTTATAGCCTGAAGGTGACATTTTGGTGAGGTTTGTGGACACCTAGACAGTTGGGAGGCCAGATGCAGTTTCAGGAATCTAACTTGGGCTTCAGAGTTTTGAATCTCCACATGTGTCTATGAAATCCTTGTTCCCAAATGAGCTAAATGCAAGCTGTCTTCACAGGGTGTCATTCTTTGTTCAGCAGAGAGCAGTGCATCTGATTAGCTCATCCACTGCAGTCTTTCTAGTTCTTCAACTGTATGAGATTGGCTACATACCATGCAGTCTTCTCCAAGCCCCAAAGTACATTGTTCCTTCTCCCAACCTTCCTTCTCTCCCATCAAACCATCAGTGGGACAGGACTTAGACTATGTGGCTAAGAGAGGAGGAAATCACACCTTGAGTCTGCTACATGTGCTAAGGTATTTGAATCACGGTTATGAAAACAACATTTAGCTGTAACTTAATTATAAAGAAGCAGGAAGGGAGTTTGAATAAACACCCAAACTATCAAAATGCCCATTGAAGTAAGAGGTTTTACTGGATCAGATAACCCAGGAAAGTTTTTCTTGGCAGCTGGTATTTGTAGCCATGTGATACCAACAAACAAATAACCATGCAAGAAAAGCATGACAACAAAATACAGTGCTCACTGTGACAATGCCCTCAGTAAGTACTGGACTGTTTGCAGCCCAAGCAGGTTGTGCTTCCGTAATAAGTCAGGGCCAACGAATGAGCGAGATGAAATCCAGAAAGAGGAACCCATCTGGAATAGTCTAGGAAGGTTAGGGTCTTAACTGTTCCAAAGAAAGAATTAGGGAAAGATTTTTCTTGGGAGTGTCAACACCTATATTCTAGGCTTAGCAATAGGAGGGCGTCACTACTGATCTCTAGCAAGCCAACCCCCCCCCACTTTCCCACACTTCCCCAACACACATACTCCCCAGGCTTTGTTAACCATCTCTAAAATGAGGCATGAAGAATGTGGCCTCCATGATCTTGTCCGAAGCATACAGGAAAAAAAAAAAAAAAAAAAAGCAAGCTCCTGGCATAAAAACAACATAAATTCCAAGATGGGTGCTTCAACAAAAAGAACAGGACAAGAGTGGCCAAAAAGATAGGGGCAAAGAAGGCAGGAACTAGATGACAGTGGCTAGAAAGATAGGAGCAAAAAAGACAGGAACTGGATGACAGTGGCTAGAAAGATAGGAGCAAAAGAGACAGGGACAGGAGAGTGAGTAGAGAGATGGGAACAGAGTAGGGGAGGAAGGACCTCTGTTGAGCTGTGACAAATTATCACACATTTAGTGCTTTGAAAAAGCATGAATCAGCCAGATGTCCTGGCACACATCTCTAATTCCAGCATCAGGAGGTCAGGACAAGAAGATTATGATTATGACAAGACTAGCATAGGCTACATGGCATGACCCTGCCTCAAAACACGACTTATTTTTTTTTTCTTCTTCTGTTACAGTTAAAGTTCTGGATGTGCGTGGGGGGAGGGATCAAAGTAGGGCTCACTGGGTTTAAATAGAGGAGTTGGCAGAGCTCTGTCCCTCCTAGAGGCTCTGTCTCACTTTTTCCCATTAATTAGAGCCGCCTGGGTTTACTGGTGTTTCCAACCTTCCTCCATCTTCAGAGGAGGTGGTATCTTCAGGGTGGTATCTTCTCATTCCTCCTCAAGCTTCTCTTGTAACCCTTTAATGAGTACCCCTGTGGCTACATAAGACTATCTGGTAACCCAGAAAAATCTCTGACTTCCACAATTAACAATTAGTTTAATCATATGTGCACAGTCCCTTTTACCACACAAGGCAGCACACTTCCAAATTCTAGGTATTACAACATGGAATGGAAGGGGCATTGCCTGCCCACCACACAGAACCATCATGTGGTATCTTCCATCCCACAGTATGTTGTCTTTGTATACTCATCTCCTGAGCAGGTTCCTGGCACCATGTCACCTTGCTGGTCCCCACCCCCTACCCCATAGCCAACCCACTCTAAAACTCAGAAGTTTATTCTCCAGCATACATATCTGATATTTTCTTTGCTGAAGACCTCCATGATGCCCTTAATCTTACCAATGTTTCTCTCAGACTTTCTGTCAGCCTCTAATCCACTTTCTCCCAGGCCATCCTCAAGAAACAGATAGCATTTAAAATCTAAATCTGGGCCAAAGAAGAAGAGAGAAAGAGGAGAGAGAGAGAGAGAGAGAGAGAGAGAGAGAGAGAGAGAGAGAGAGAGAGAGAGGGAGAGAGAGAGAGAGAGAATGTAAATGGAAAGTAACAAAAACATATTAGAAGTCTGGGTCATATTATATCTTGCTGAAAAACCTCAACAACCTCTGACTGTTATCAGATGAAAACTAAAATTCCAAATGTCCTACCAAGCCCTGGACAGCTGGCCGAATATGATGCCTACAGTGTTACTTTCAACACCTTGTTCTCTTACCCACTAAGAGAAGGTGCTCTCTTACCTGCCTCAGTGGCCACCAAGAGCTCCCTGAGTAGGCCACATTTTCTGGCATCTCAGAGCTTTCTGCACATGCTGATACCATTTGTTTTCCTGCCTTCACACCTCATGGAAAACATCACTTCCTCAGGAAAGTGCTTGTCAAGCCTGACCCTCAGCCATCTCACAAGCCTGGAACAGGCTTCTCTCTATACAATGCTGTTTAGCATAGTCTGTGCTTTTAGCTAGAGCTGCTTGTGTTTTCTTGATGCATTTCTTACTTCCTCCATCTTCACAGTTAGGAGAGTGGCATCTTCTTTGATATTATTAGAGTTTATAATTAAATATCTGTGTGCTCATTTGTTAGAATGTTTCTCTTTGTATTTTGTGAGCTCTAAGAAGTCAGAGAGTGCTTACTTCTTGTCCATATGTCACAACTATGTGTCACCACAGCCATGTGTCACCACAGTCTGATGCCTAAGACAGTATGCAAGAGTGAAGTTCTGTGTAAAGAGGTGCCTTAAAATTCAGGACCTCGAGTAAAACAGATTTAAGTTTAAATCATATCGTTGCCTTTGTTGGTTATGATTTGGGGGATGGAATTTAATATTCTGAGATTCACTTTCTAGCATGTAATATGAAAATCTAATCAATATCTTAAAATTTTATTATGAAGGTTAATATAAGGACCTGTAGTACTTAGATATATTGAAGGGACAATAAATGAAAGTCCCATCCTAATTATCACACTGCAAATGTAGTCAACTGTAATTGGATGCTGGCTAAACATCATGACCATGTTATTACTTCCTTCTTCTGCTTCGAAGACACCCAATGGGCAGAAACAAATCCCGTGAGATTATAGCTGGCTTGGGTGTGAGAGCATCTGTTGCTGCCACTTGACAGAACTGTGGTTAGAGTTGATGGGTGCCTGAATCATTTGTGAGCACATGTTAAAATGTAGAGTCACAAGCTCCACCCCCAGACCAATAACTGGAAATCTTTTTTTTTTTTTTTTTTTTTTTTTTTTTTGGTTAGACACCAGGTTAGTCTGAAATGAAGTCTTCAAAGACTACCCTTTGGGAAGTTGTGACATGAGTCTCCAGAACTCTGGCTCATATATAAGCTTCCTGCTAGGAACCAGATGAAGCAGGCCCTGCAGCCCCTCAGCTCCCATAATATCTTATACATCTAGACATTCAAACTGTGTGATTCCTTGGGGGCCAACAACTGTTGTATCAAGACTCTGCACTGTGCCTGGCAATAGCAGGTAAAGCTCTAGCCGGCTTCCTGCTTCCTCCCTGTAATGTTAACGAATAGCATTAGTTAGCCAGTGGCTCAGATCAAAAAAGCTCTGGAATCTTTCCTGACTTCTCATACATGCTACATCCCATCTTTTAGAAAATCTTGTTACTTTAACTTCCAGATGTGTCCAGAAAATCACCATTGCACTGCTACACACACTGGCTGAACGTATCACTATCTATTCCTTACACCATATCTCTCTTTTCCATACATAGCAGTTGACATTTTTTTCCTAATGAGTGTGATTTTTAAAACATGTTGGACCATGTATATACTATACAAAGTTCAAATGACTTGCTGCTCCATGTAGAAGAAATCCAAATTCCTACCATAGTCCATGGATCCTCCCATCTCCCACACCTGCTCACTTCTCATTTCTCCTTGATACTGTAAAATTGTTGTGAGGACTGATACAAGGGCTTTCCTCAAATACATTAAGGTCACTTTCGCCTAACATCTCAGGGATTGGGGGATTTTTGAACTTACATGAGTACCAGAGAATGGTGGGATTTACTTACTCCTGGACTGCACTCAGCTCCATGGGGTGGGGGATGGGAGAGTGGAGACTAAAAGGCGTGAGAAAAGACAGCACATGAGGGTGGGTAGGATCTGGGGCAAATGGTCGCTCGTATTTTGGGAGCTGCTTCGGGTTAAGGTCAATGATTTGCCGTTCATTGTTATTTAATGAGCTGTGGTGGAAATGATGGGAGGACAAAGATGCAAAGATCAGAGATGGTTTAAGTCAAGTTCAAGAGAAGCAAGCCAGCTTCAAGACCAGAAGGAGTGATAGCAATCCCCTTGGGACCTTTCTATGTGTTCCTCTTGATTAGCAGGTGTGCCTTTGATGATCCTGAGAACAAACAATATCAAACTTATCCTCCTACAGGACTTCTTGGACCTACTTTATATGCTGAGGTTGGAGACACCATGAAAGTTCACTTTAAAAATAAAGCTGACAAGCCCTTAAGCATCCATCCTCAAGGAATTAAATACAGTAAATTTGCAGAAGGTAAGGCAAGTTTATTATCCCTCTGACAAAAGAACAGGTCGATCTCTAGATCAAATATCTGGTATCTAAGAGAAATAGAAATGTTAAAAGTTGATCCTGCTTTTGGTTTCTGAGAGGAAAGCCAATGGTTTAGAGTCACTTACCTACCAGGACTTTGTTAGGTTCCTGCTCCTAATGAGGTGGGTGGAAAAAGCATCTATTCTCTGAATTTCATATGTTCATTGTAAAACTGGGAATAACAATACATTCTAAGATGGTTTTAGGCGTATATAGGTCCATGTTTCTACAATAAATACAAGCAAGAATTATCACCACAGAGACAAATGCAGGGCAAATTCATTCTGCTTGAACTCCATGGCTACTATGCTTCCTTTCCCTGCTCCTACGAGTTCAATGGCACAAACAAATCCCATGATAAGTGAGGGTGAGCAGACATGTTTTTGTAAAAAGCCAGCTACTAAATACTTTCAGCTCTTCAGGCAATAAGATTTAGGCTGCCTTGGAAAGAGGACATTTTAACTGAGGAATTGCCGCCATCAGATTTTCTTGTGGGCATGTCTGTGAAGCATTTTCTTGACTGTTGATTGATCTGGGAGGTTTCAGCCCACTGTGGATGGTGCTATCCCTGGGCAGTGAGCCTGAGCTATTAAAAAAAAAGAAGAAGAAAAGAAAGAAAGGTAGGTGAGCAAGCCAGGGACTCAAACCCATGAGCAGACATGAGCAGAGTTCTTCAGTGGTCTCCACTTCAATTCTGCCTTGAGTTCCTCCTACCTTGGCTTCCCTCCATAAAGGACTATCATCTGTAGTCTGGGTCAGCCTCTTCCTTCCCAAGCTGCTTTTGGTCAGTGTTTTACCATAGCAACAGAGAAGAAAACTGGAATAGTTGGCAAGTTCCTGGACAAGACATTGCACAGAAGTCTCTTCCATGTTACCCAAATTCATACTGTGATTAGCCTACTTATGAGGTTTCTCAACCAGAATTCAGCAATGCAGAACAAGAGAAGGGGACAACAGCATGGTCAAACAGTCCCGTTCAAGCATCACTTACAATGTGGGAGAAGGTAAGAGTTGTGGACTCTGGCCCTCAGCTCAGTTGTTTACAGAGGGAATGGACCTTGCAACATCGTTCATCTTCTTTGAATGTTTATTTGACCCTCTATTCCTCAGTCAGCAAGCATTTGTGAAACAAAATTGCTGAACATGCCCCCAGCACATCTATTTGTAGTTTCTTAGTATTGCGTAGGAGTGCCTAAATTCCCATAAATTCAATAACTAATGCAGTAAATGCAGATAAGTAGAGGAAAAAAAAACTTCCCTGGGAAACAAGATATAAACTTAGTATATAGTTTCCTTGTAGAGATAAGCCTCTGGTTCTGCATCATGCTCGTCTGTATTACAATACACTATCTCCCCATATCTGTATCTAGCACTCACCTTCACCTATTGCCTACCTCTGTAGTTAGACCTATTTTGATGGGGATAAACTAGCTACATGGTGAGTCCAAATTCTTTATCTTAGAAGTAAGCACTCAAGCCAGGAGTTGGTGGCGCACACCTTTAATCCCAACACTCAGGAAGCAGAGGCAGGCAGATCTCTGTGAGTTCGAGGCCAGCCTGGTCTATAGAGCTAGTTCTAGGACAAGCTCCAAAGCAATACAGAGAAACCATGTCTTTTTAAAGAAACTTTGACTTTTCAAAGCTTTGTATCAGGTCTGGGAAGACAGCACCGCAGGTAAGAGTGCTTAGTGAATGAATATGGCACCTGAGTTCAAATTTCCAGAACTTCCATAAAAAGCAATGCATGGCCAGATGCATCTGTAACATTCAGTGCCTGGGAGTGGGATGGAGACAGCTCTCTAGGGCTGGCTGGTCACAACTGAGCTTTGTTCACCAAAAAAACTCTGTCTCAAGGGACTACAGGCAAGAATGATGAGGTTATCAGGCATCCTCTGTCAACAGTGATCAGGTCACCAGCTATCCTCTGGCTTCTACCCATGCATGCTCTCTCTCTCTCTCTCTCTCTCTCTCTCTCTCTCTCTCTTACACACACACACACACACACACACACACACACACACACACACACACATACACATACCACTGTAAGAATCCAAATTTTCTATCCCTAAAGGAATTTTAATTGAAATGAAATTTAATTTAATTTTCAAAAGTCTATAAGTAGCATGCATTGCACTTTTGGTAGGCTCTGTTTTAGGGATTATTTTAAGAAAGTCTGTTTCATAGTAAGTCTTATCCTTTCTTTTCTTCCCTGTCTATCTCCCTTCCCTCCCTGTCTCTGTCTCTCTCTCTCTCCCTCCCTCCCCCCTCTCTGTGTGTGTGTGTGTATATGTGTGTGTATGTGTGTGTGTGGGTGTGTGTTTGGGATCAGACCCAGTGTTGCACACATGCTGGGCAAGCACTATTACCACAGAGTGGCATTCCCAAACCATTAGTAGTATTTTTTCATTTGATTTGTTTTCTTGTATTTATCTTGTATTTATATAACACAAAATTATTTTAGTGTTATATAAAATGCTTTAAATTATATTTAATGTTATAATTCCATTACATTTAACCATCTTCTAATAAACTAGAGCCCTAATTCTAAAAAAAATCCTAAATTTAAGTGTTGCAAAATTCTGGATATGAAAACTTAGTCTTCAAGGATTTTTCATAACATTCCAATTTTTGATGCAAGCTTATTTGTCTTTTTTTTACCAAGTATGAAACTAATGATGACTAAAAAATTCTCATAAACCCCCAAAACTCTTCATTTTCCATTTTAAAAAACCTCATAAGTCATTATACAATACCAGCATTAATTTGCCCATTGTGTAAATTATGACTTCTAGAGGAATATCCTGGACCCTTGCATGCACAGAGGCATTCACTGTGTTTAATAAAGGGGAAAGAATGAGTTCACAAAAAATAAGTAACGAGTGAAATTTAATGAATGGGTACCCTAAATGGCAACCAGAGTCTCTTTACAGAACTTCACTTTCCCAAAGCTTGCATGCACCATTTCACATTTGAAAACATACTGGGGGTTTCATTGAAAGTAATTAGTACCTCATGGCAGATGTAACCACGCTATAAAGTTGGCCATGGACTGGGCAGGAAAAGGACAGAACAGAGTAAATATAAAATGAGGGAGAACTCTTGTGTAAGGGGTTTACTCTACTACAGGATGAACAAGGTCTTCTATGCCCTGTTACAATTCGTCCTGTCCATTTCTCATCTTTTCAATTTAGACTTTAACTTTGATTGCAAAGTTAAAATCGTATTTGCCAAACCAAAAACAAAACAAACACCAAACCACATTTCAAAAACACTTCCTCTAGGGGTGGTGCACTCCACCACCATCACAGCTCTTGGGAATGAAAATTTCCTGCTCTAGTGTACATGGGGGCAAGATTCACTGCTGTCAGCATCGCACACCTAGTGAGCACAGTTTTGCTCTTTTCTCTTGACTCTGTATAAGAAACATATGACTACGTGCATGCATATACTTTTATTGAAGGAAGTTTTGGGACAGAGTAGAAATAAACACAGATGACCAGTCAGCTTTGTGTAACTTCAGGCACATGCTCTTGAAAACAGATTCAAGCAATACGGTGATGAGGCTCAGGTTAGATACACATAACACAAAAAATAAAAAACCCAGAGACAGATATTGGGGTTCAAGCTAAAGATCAGAAAAGTAAAGCAGCCAGGCCAGTAGCTCTTACATCTACCTCAGACTGAAATGGGTGTCCTGTCTCCACAAATCCTCAGAGTGCAATGCAGACTGAAATCTCTTCAGTTCCTCTCTCTCCTGCCTCATATTCCTTTCTCTTCCTAACTGTAACACTTTTGTCTCCACCTCCCTAATGCTGGGGTTAAAGGCATGGTGTCTCAAGTGTGGAGAGTACCTTTGTGTGAGCTGTTTCTCTCTTAGACTGCATAAATTTCATGTGGCTCAGAGTGGCTTTGAATTAACAGAGACTTGTCTGCCTCTGTCTCCTAAATCCTGGGATTAAAAGTGGGCACCACCACTGCCTGTCTCTATGACTGTGGCTAGCTTTGAATTTTGATCCCCGGTGGCTTTATTAAATCATGAATAATATTCACCACAGATACAAATTCTGTATTTGGCTTTGAAAAGCATGTCACTTAAGCCCCAGTACATACTTCCTTGGAAAGAAATTTTCTATGATAAGGGTTCCCTTCAGAACCAGTTTTTCTTTTATAATTTCAAATTTAGAATCTTCAACAAGATTTAGTCATGTGATATTATAGGCTTGTGTCATGGGCGTAGAAAAGATGGCTCCACCCTTTTTCTGAAATGGGCAGTCCCAGTGGCTCAGACCAACCAGCTCAGCTACCACCCAGACCCACATCCTAAACCTTGAGTTGGCCCACCCTGACATCTACCTCATCTATGACCTGCTGGAGAGTGTGAAGGGACTGGTCCTGCAGAATCATAGCCATGGGATTCCCAATGACTGGGTGCAACAGCAGGATATCTGAGAGGAGTTTCAGTGAGGATCCTGTGATGATGATGCTGTGCCAGAGGCCTTGAACTAGATCAATGACTCATTGCAATGTACATTTTGTGGGTGGGGTTATTTGATAAAAGGGTATACTGTGTGATACACCTCAACTCCCAATGTCACTAGAATGAGTGATGAGGTGTTGGAAAGTTGGAGGAGTGAGGTGTTTGTTCATTTGTTCTGTTTTGTCTTTAATTAATTTTAGGGAGAATTTCTTTTGAGGGGAATGCTGCAGGAATGATAGGCAAATATGAGGGACAGGGAGGTGAGCGGTATTGGAGTACATGATATGAAATCATCAAAAAATAAATGATTATGTTGTAAAAAAACACTTCCTCTAAATATCTGTTTTGATTATGTTTTATATTATGTAGGTTATAAACTGAGAAATATAACATTTCTATTTTATTCTAAAAGTAAAATGATCTGCTATGAAAAGAATAAAAGCACTGATAAAAGTATCCTCTA